CGTTAAGTTCAAATCTGGCGTGAAAGCGGCGCAACATTAAATAAGGGCAGCTCTTCGTTCCGGCTGGCAGATTTGCTACAAAAACAGCTGAGATGCACAGCTGGGTGGGTGCGCTTGTTGTAAAACCGACATCTGAGCCTCACCTTAGGGAGGAGGATGTCAAAGCCATCGCGCAGCATAATGAGATCCTGGGGAAAAGATGCAACACGACAAAAATAGGTGGAGAATGTAAATAAACACAGCGAGGACTCCTCTCCGGGTTATGCAGTCGGAGAAATACTTACGGTGTTGTCTCCGACATAACAAGACGTGGCTCCCAGGTGGATGATGGGGGCGGCGGAGGGGCAGCAGTGAGCGAAGGTGTGGACGTGAGCCATGACATCGTGCCTGAGCTTCCGTTCCTCTTCGGCGGCCATGGCGAAGTCTATGTCCTCGGCGTGGCTCTCCATCTCCTGGATCTGAGCGTCCGTGATCGGCAGACCCAGTTCCTGAGCGGGGATGACAAGGCAGAGATGTCTCAACGCCAAGCTCCAGCGTTTGGGTTGCAGAGTTTCGCTCTAATCTGATGTTTACGATTACGGGTCTTTTTGAAGAAACTGAAGGAAAACAGAGAAGGTGCCACGACATGTCCCTGACTCCAAGATATAAATGGAGTGAGTTTATTGAACACTTTTCTTTTCGTACTCAACACACAAAACGCTTTACCACTCACAATCTCCTAATATCTGGATCAGCCTGGAATGTTTCTGTTCATGGAGAGTCGATGGGAATCTGATAACGGCTCGATTATAGAGGAATGAGCAGCTTGGTCCCATGAGCACACGGCTGAAACCAGCCGGGATCAAAGGTCAGATAGTAGACAGGCCAGTTCTACACATTTATTGATTCAACACATGAAGTCAAGACGGTTTGAAACCAAATGCTAAAATAAAAGGAACTTTGACTGGGCTGCAAAGGTCAGAATACAAATATACTTCAAGTGCTGTCTCCGGTTACAGAAAAATACCGTGCTATATTCAAACAGTGCCTATCCTAGCAACACTACAGTAACCCCAAATAGTGAATGTGAATCTGCGTGTAGGATGTCATGTGAGGCAGCACTCGTGAGAAAGAGCCTGTTAACGTTCATTTAGGCCCCTTCAAAAGGCAGCTGATCAAATTAGAAGAGCTCCAGAGTTAAGATGCTGTTGAACTGTGTCCTGTCTGTCTGGTCACATGACCTTGAGGGGCCTTGGGTGGGAGGAAGTGGGGGGGTCATCTAAATATGAACCAAAAAACAGGACATTTAGTGAAATGTCAAATTAATCAATTTAACTTTATTTAATTAATTCCTCTTACAAGTGGATAAATTGTGGAAAATGTATTGGACTTTTTTTTAAAAAGTGGGTTAGTCAAATCATGTACTTGTTTTGTTTATACTCATCATACTCAATGGTCCCTCATTGATTTTGAGATGAGTGTTCAAAGCTCAACACAGCCTGCGAGTGTTGAAACCGGGTCAAGTAATTATTAGTCCACTAATAAAGAAAAAATAGAGAAGTCAGCCACTTTAAACATTCTACATAAAAGATGAGTGACTCTTCATTAGTGCAGACAAAGCATCTGCATAGCGTAAGCACGACATCTCAGTAGAACTTGAGCATTGCACGTCAGTAGTGTGGGTGTGATTTTTGTGATGTCTCTAAGATGAGACACTCATGTAAAAAAAAAATAATAAAATCTTTGGACATGTAAAAAAAAAGTAAAATAATCACATTGTAATACAGTATCAAATGTGCACCCCTGATATGAGGTATGAAGGGATAGTTAAAACTGCCAGAGAAACATAATCGGCCCAAAGTTAGTAAAGACGTTCTATTTATTTACATTGATTTGTCACCATAACAAATTTTAAAAGCCAGACAAAAATAACCTGCATAAACACAAAATGGCATTTGGGTGCAGATCTGATGCACGACTTTTGAAATTCCACTTTGCAGAAACTGATTTCAATTCAGACACTTTTTGAACATGAGAGACTGAACAGTAAGTCCGGACTTTGAGTAGGCCAAACACTTTTGTCATTATTTACCTTGTAGAAGTGATTTGACTAACCCACTTTTAAAAAAAGAAGTCCAATACATTTTCCACAATTTATCCACTTGTAAGAGGAATTAATTAAATAAATTTATGGTTCCATCTTACAGGCCATGACGCAATTAAACAGCCTCAACAGTTTAATTACCGTCATATTTATCAAAATTAACTGGATGATTTATGATGACAAAGCAAATGGAGGTATAATTGGGTTAGGTTTTGACTAATTTCTACTTTTCATTGCTTTGTTATGAGTCCTCATAACTCATTAACTGGGAATTAATGACAACTATTTAAAATTAAAACGCATAATCAAACTAATAATTTGAATCTGTTTAGAGCTTCCTGTATTATTTCTGTGTACAGTCATTGCATTATAAATAACAGAAGCATTTATTCAGTTCCTATTTTATGGGAAGCCATAAGCGCTTGTAGTCCCGCAGTATTTGGTCCTCCACTATTTTTAGACCGGGACATTTGAGAGGTTTCTAAAGGTCGGGAGTCGTTCAAAATGGGACAAACGGAGACGTAAAAATCGTCAAACCTTCTCCGCTCTGGCCAGTAGGATCCACAGCTTCCTCCAGGTGGTGAATTTCTTCTTGTCGCTGAAGTTGTAGGCCATTTCCTTGCTTGCATATCGCGACACCAGCGGAGAGCGGTACTTTCTGAACTCCTCGTCTCCCTCCATGTTTGCCACAAGGCTGTCAAAGAAAACTGTCAACCGGAAGCTTTTCGGATGAAAACAGAAGGCGCCATGCACGCCTCGCTTCTTTTTTCTATGGCAAACAACTTGCTGATGCGCATTACCGCCATCTACTGGACTGGAGTGTGGATCGGGATGCTACATATAAATGCCCCTACCAAAGTAAAAGAAAAGAAAACACAAAAAAAATTTAATTTAATAAAATAAAATTTTATTTAATTATTAATTTGGAGTGTGTTTTTAGTTGAGATTTAAAGGAAGTCAGGATTTCTGCTGTTTTACAGTTTTATGGAAGTTTGTTCCAAATTTTTGGTGCATAGATGCTGAAAGCTGCTTCTCCTCTCTTGGTTCTGGTTCTGGGGATGCAGAGCAGACCAGAACCAGAAGACCTGAGAGGTCGGGAAGGTTGATACAACAACAGCAGATCTTTGATGTATTGTGGTGCTAAACCGTTCAGTGATTTGTAAACTAACAACAGTATTTTAAAATCTATTCTTTGAGCTACAGGGAGCCAGTGGAGGGACTTTAAAACTGGTGTTATGTGCTCTATTTTCCTGGTTCTAGTGAGAACGCGAGCAGCAGTATTCTGGATCAGCTGCAGCTGTTTGATTGATTTGTTGGACAGGCCTGTGAAGATGCTGTTACAATAATCAATGCGACTAAAGATAAACGCATGGATGAGTTTCTCTAAATCTGGCTGAGACATTAGTCCTCTAATCCTGGAGATGTTCTTCAGGTGATAGAAGGCCGACTTTGTAATTGTCTTTATGTGGCTCGCAAGGTTCAGGTCAGAGTCCATCACTACTCCCAGGTTTCGCCCTGATCGCTAGTTTTTAGTTGTAATAACTGAAGCTGTGCATTGACTTTAGATCGTTCCTCTTTAGGTCCAAAGATAATGACTTGAGTTTTGTTTCTGTTCAGCTGGAGAAAGTTTTGGCACATCCACACATTTATCTGTTCTAAACATTTATTCAGTGATTGGATGGGGTCAAAGGTCACCTGGTGACATCGTAATGTAGAGCTGTGTGTCATCTGCATATTATTTCCTGTTATAACCTGAGCTAGTGGGAGAATATAAATATTGAATAAGAGGGTCCTAGGACTGAACCTTGGGGTACACCACATGTGACCTTTGACCTCTTGATGAGAAGTTTCCAATTGAAAAAAGAAATCCCTGTTTTTTAAGTAAGATTCAAACCAGTCGAGCACCGAACCAGAGAGTCCAACCCAACTTTCAAGTCGATTCAGTAACATGTCATGGTCGACAGTGTCAAAAGCTGCACTGAGGTCCAACAGAACCAGCACTGTGGTTCTCCCAAAGTCCGTATTTATATGGATATTGTTGAATACTTTTACGAGGGCAGTCTCCGTGCTGTGGTGAGCACAAAAACCAGATTGGAAGGAGTCAAAGCAGTTGGTCATCATGAGGAAACTATTTAATTGTTCACACACAGTTTTTTCAATAACTTTACTGATGAATGGGAGGTTTGAACTCTTTTGTTCATGAAGACAAAACAGTCGCCGTCACTTGAGCTGTGCGTCAACGTCTCTGACATTTTGTGAGTGGCATTTTGATAAAATCACATGGAATCTGTTCGTGGCTGATCTGTGCCGATGATTTTCTGTTTCTGTTATAGTAGTAAGTAGTAAGTATGGCAGATACTCTTAGTAACAAAGTGAAGAAATTAAAAATAAAATATAATCATAAATTTTTTTTATCTAAAACTTAATACCAAAGATATTTCTGACATTGTATAATTTCCAATATATTATAAGAAATTATAAAGTTTAAATAAATTTGAAAAAAAACAACAACACCGAAATAAATCAAATGTGAAAAGGGAATTGTTATTATTATTATTAACAACAACCACAACAACAACAACAATAATAATAATAATAATAATAATAATAATAATAATAATAATAATAATAATAATAATAATAATAATAAAACTCAGCAATTTAACTATACTTTCAACTAACCCGAAGTGAATTTTAATATTGCAACAACTCCTATAACAGTACATTTAGTTAAGGTTGGTGTTTTTGTATTTATTTTAATTTCTTACATAAATTCCCAAATATTGTTTCTTTTCTCTTTTTTTTTTTTCTTTTTTTTTTTTTCTTTTTTCTGTCTCTATCTCGCCAACGACTGATACCGAGTATCCAAACTGGTTAACTTCAGCCCGCGCCCGAGGCTGGCTCGAGAAGACGCCACTCACAACATGGAGGACGCGCCGACGTTACCGTTGGTGGGCGAGGTTGCATCGCGACTCTTGGGAGACGCTGTACGGCATACCGAGATGTCTTGGGCCAAAACGAACTCCCTGGCAACGGCCGAGCGCTAACGCAGCCAAAAACGCGTAAAAGTTTGACAACGACCGCTTATAAAAATGCCTCAACGGTGTCACTATGTTTAAAGAAGGGCACACAGAATGTGTTATGCTTGGACTTTTACTGTTTTGTGGTTTTGCCACCCAAACAGTGAAGGTCTCACTCTCTTAATTGGCGCCTATCGATGCTAATTTCCGTGTGGAAAATATCAGCGTTATATCTCCTTACTGCTATCTGCTATTTATAGGAGCTCTCAGGCGTTACGTAAGATCCTGTCTTGTGTTAATATTTATATGCATGAGTGCCTCTTTCTGCCTTGTGTTCTTTCTGTCTGCAGGGGTTATATAATTAATTGTGTTTGTATGTTATGCAGCACCTGGGGACAGCAGCCAGCTGTAAACAGAAGAGTCCGCCTCTTTCTCTCTCTCTCTCCCTCTCCTGCTCTTGTTTCTGACCCTCCCTCTCTCTCTCTCTCTCTCTCTTCCTCTGCGTCTATTCTTTCTTCCATCAGTCCTCCTAACTGCAGTCTGCATACAGGTCCATTCTGCTGGTCCTGCTGCTGCTGCTGGTGGTGGTACTGGAGTGAGTGGGAGGAACATTTCCCCCCTCTTTGCCTCAAAAACAAACCAAAAAAAAACAAAAGAAGAAAAAAATGACGAGACATCCTTCTGGAGCTGCAGAGGCAGGGGTGGATTTGCCATCCAGTTTCCTGCATTGCACAATGTTTCCCGTCTGCTTGGAGAGATAAATAAAAAAAAAGAAGAAGAAGACAAAGGAGAAAGCGTTGTGGACAAGGAGAAAGTGGTACGCCGAGGAGGGGTTAAGGTGAGGAGGAAGCTGTGGGAGACACAGCAGATCACAGAAGAGGTGCTGAGAGGCATGAGGGACGAGTGGGAGTCAAGAAACTGAGGATGAAGTGAGTAAACGCTGCAGTGGAATGAGGCTTAAAGTGAAAGCAGAAGCCGAGAAGCAGGCCTGTGTGCGCCACTTCGCTTTCTGAAGAAGCCAGAGGAAAGGAATCCACCGTGGAGGCGAGAAGGAGACGCAGGAGGGGGCCCGAGGAGGAGGAAGCCAGAGGTTCAACGCTCAAGATGGCTGCTGTGTCCTCTGCCTCTGACACCGGTAAGTGTCTTTTTGTTTTTTTTTTCTTTTCCTCTCTCTCTCTCTTTCTGCTGGAACAGGTTCTGCATCATCAACCTTCATTTGACCACACCGTCCCTGGGAAAAACTCTCAGCTCTGTTTCTTTCCCAGTTTCCTCTAAATAGGGAAACTGTTGCGCCGCTTGGAATTAGCTACACGCACAGAAAGTCAAATCAGCAGTCCTCTGCGGGAGGAAATCAATGAAGTCTCCCACACCGCCCCCCGACTCCTCATCTCCTCATCCTCTCGGGGCGTTCGTCGCTTCTCCTGCCAGATGCTGAGCATCCACATTCAGCTCTGATGCCATTTCATCAAAATTTCTCTTCACTCAGCTCTGATAATCAGCTGCTGATTATCATATGCCCTGATAATATGATAGGGAATATTATCAGGGCATATGATAATGCCACACCTGAACAGCAGCACCTGCTATTCATTCTTCGTACAACCTGGAGGACAGCACTTGGTCGTCTTCTGCGAAGGTTGACTCAAAGGGCTCTGCCTCCCTACATTAGTCCTGAGTTATGCTCTCTTCAGTTCACCACACAGGGTTTTTTTTTTTTTTTTTTTTTACACATTTTGGGGTTTGCGGGCTGAGGTGGTCCATTTCTTTGGTCATTTGGATCTTTCTGACATTTGACTGAAGATTCAATGCCAAATTATTTTCCACAGGATTTGTATTTTACGACGTCACGCTCTTTTAGGACCAAGCGGTGAAAAACAGGGCCGTTTCTAGCTTTTTGGGGACCCTAGGCGAGATGCCGCTCGGAGGACCCGAGTGCATCGACAGAATCTGAATAAGCAGGTCTGGACATTTGACTCCGTTTAGTACCACAAAGCGTCATGAAGCTGCGTTCTGGTCTCATTTGTCGGTTAGAAGAAATTCTAACAATTATCCGAGGCAAATCATTTTGCTGACAACATTTTATGAAAGCGTTGCATCTTTGCTTGTCTAGCCCACAACAAAATGTGTTACCTTTCGCCTGTTTCTTCCTCCATTTCATTTTCTTCAGTTTTTCCAGGCCACTAATGCAATTTCTTCTGTTTTTTGATTTACTTTTCTCGCTATTGATGATGATGGGTACCAGTTAATCATTCCTTTCGGCCTGTTGGAGGTTCGATCAATGTATAATAGTAGGAGCCAATTACCTAATAATGGCAATAATGGCAGTCTATTTAATTCACATCTGACATTTATTTTTACTTTTTATGCATACACAAGATATAATAAGTATTTGAGATAATTACAGAAAAAGGCAGGACATTTCCATTTTCCTTAGGAAAAAAACGATATTTTGAAGCGATTATTGTGGGCACCAATAACTGAGGCTAATTTATTCAAAATCACTAAATTTCTTTTTTTTTTCTTTCTGCCAATAGGAGACCACCGGGCCCGCCACCCCCCCGAGCGCCGGCTGCTGATCCTCGGCGGGCCCCAATCGGGAAAGACCTCCTCCGCCAACACCGTCCTCGGAGACGAGATGTTCGACGCCGGGACGGAGACGACCCACAGCAACGTGGGCCAGATGGAGATCTACGGCCGGCGGGTCACGGTGGTCGACACCCCGTCCTGGGCCGTCCCGGCCGACCCCGAGGACGACGACGAGCGCGACACGGACGACAACGCCGGCGCCGAGTCGGACAGCCCGGCTCGCCCCCCGCCGAGCCTGGACAGCGAGGGCCCCTGCATGGGCGCCATCCTGTGCCCTCCCGGACCGCACGCCATCCTGCTGGTGGTGTCCATCAGCCAGCCGTTTGGTGACAGGGAGCGGAAGGCCGCGGAGGAGCAGCTGGGGGCTCTGGGCGGAGGGACCTGGAGGTACTGCATAGTCCTCTTTACCGGAGTGGACAAGCTGCCCAAAGGCGTGTTCATCGAGGAGCACATATCCAACACCGGAGAGGCCCTGCAGTGGCTGGTGGAGAGATGTGGAAGCAGGTAGGACGACAGATGGAGTCGGAGGAGATCAGTGACTGTTCAGTTTAGAACAGAGGTCTGTCGAACCGAGCGTTGTCATTCCACAAATCTGGTCCAGCGTAGCAGAACGGTCTAGATAATGTGGAAGAAGACGTTTCAGTTTGATGAGTCAAAGACTGCCTTGGTGCATATTGCTAAATATGGTAGGAAACAAACACTGCACAGTTTGCACAGAGCATTCTGTTGCTGAAACATGGTGGTGGCAGCCCAGTGCTGTGGGGAATCTTCAGCACAGACAGGGATTCTCCTCTGTTAGAGGCGCAAGAGGAAATGAGACTCTAAACCCCGGAATGCAAATTCACACCACACTTTTTTCATTTTTCAAAAAACAGGTTTGGAAAATGAGATATTTGTGTCTTTTCGCAGGTACCATGCCTTTGACAACACCCTTAAAGACTCAGAGGAAAACACCCAAGTACCTGAGCTGATGGAGAAGGTGGAAGAACTGGTCACCGACAACCAAGGTTTGCAAAGCAACTCTGAGGCTCCGACTCATTACGCCGTTAATAAATAGTAGCACCTCGTATGCAGTATTCATGCGGCTTCTCTGATCAGTGCATTATTAATCCAGGCACCATTTGTGTTGCGGGGGCCTGACCTAAAATGACTGGGTGAATTATTAATTGGTGCCTTCATGCAGGCTGGTACTTTGAGGTGAATGAATTGATTTTGCTGGAGGAAGAGCAGGCCCGGAGAGCGCTGGAGGAAGAGCGGATGAGGATGGAGGAGCACGCCCGGCAGAGGGAGCAGATGATCGGAGGACCTCCCCGAGGTATGTGTGTGTTAGAGTGTGTGTGTGTTGGAGTGTGTGTGTGTGTGTGTGTGCGTTCAAGAGGGAAAAGTGAACATGTGTTGTTAATGCTGTTCAGGCGGAAACAACAGACCAGATGGGTGCTTAAGGGGGAACAAAAAAAACCCTTGATGTTTGATTCTGCTTACATTTGTGCTTTTCTTTTTTCTTTTTTTTTCACCGGGTCTCCAGAGTTGAGGCTGCTGCTGCTGGGTTGGAAGGGCGTCGGGAAGAGCTCGGTGGGGAACTCCATCCTGGGCCGTCGCTTCTTCGAGTCGGGCCAGGAGACGGAGCTGTGCCTTAGGAGGCAAGCGCTGGTGTGCGGCCGCCGGGTCACCATCGTGGACACCCCGGGCTGGGACTGGTTCTCGGTGAGCCGGACCCCCAAGCGGATCCGGCAGGAGTCGCAGCGCGGGGCCGCCCTCCTGCGGCCGGGGCCCCACACCCTGCTGCTGGTCCTCCCCGTCGTCTCGTCGCTCACGGCCAGGAAGAGGCGGACGCTCCTGGCGCACATCGAGACTCTGTTCGGAGACAACGCGTGCCTCCACACCATGGTGCTGTTCAGCTGCGGCGACTGGCTGGGACACACGCCCATCGAGGAGCACATCCTGCGGGGAGGGCGGGAGCTGCAGAGACTGCTGGAGTACTGTGGGAACTATTACCACGTGCTGGACAGTAAGACGCCCGGCAAGGACAGGAGCGTGTCGCTGCTTCTGGACAGGATAGAGGAGATGATCAGGGAGAACGGCGACAGGGCCTTCCTCCCCATCCAGACCGAGTGGCGTAAGTCTCATTCTCCGAGTTCACTGGTGTTCTTGTTGCCTCAAAGAAAAAAAAACAAAACGGGGAGCTACCTTACAGATTTCTTCTGCTTTTGCGTCTTTGTCGCAGCCACCTCTTTACAACCACCAAACAAATTTTGATATCAAAGACAACCTTTTGGTGGTAGTGTGCTTTGATTTTGGCACAAGCAGTGCAACTATCAGTTTGAGTGTAGTTTTGAAAAGGTGCCAATGCCTGCTAATGAACATTAGCTTGGAAAGTACGTGAGATCAAAGTGAGGTCTCCATCGCTAGCCCACTGGCAAATTGGTGTTGGAGAAAAAAAAAACACCAAAAAAAGAAGAAATGAAGCGTGTGCAATACAGCACTACTTAATAAAAAGAGTAAGAAACTCTTTAAAACTTTTATACTACACGTTCGGATATCGTGATAAATCGTCCGGTCAATAAATTGGAACCAATTTCCTTTATTTTGGGAGACAGGCGATCGGTCCAAACTTGTATGAGAAACTGATCTCATCCTCTGATCCTGCCTCACTCTGCAAGGGTGTGAAAATCAGCCGCCGTTCCCTTTCGCTCTGCCGTGAGAGAACCAGCCATCAGTTTCAAGGCAGTCGTTCATTCGGCGGCCTGTCCTGTTTTTGAGCTGAAACGTGTTTAAAATTGATAGGAAATTTGAAAATAACCACTTGATAATTACGCGTTATTGAAAGATTGGAAGATTTATATCGAAACAGCAACTATAAAGTTGCGCCAGCGGCTCAATTTCAAGCAGCAGAGATGATATTCCGTCCTTTAACTCTCCGTCTGGCTGTCTGCTTGGAACGCCGAGCAGAGAGACGTCGGAGTCTCGGCTCTGGTGGTTCAGGGAGGCACAGTCCCGATCGGGATGCTTTGGCACTGCCTTAAACGTTCTGCTTCAAAACGCGCCGGGACGATGATGAATTAAAACAACAGCCCTGCAAAGAAGAGTGCGCCAAAAGTCTTTGGCAGCAGTGTGAAAGATTCACTGCCTGCTGCTGCAGGTTAGGATGGTATTGGATATGGCAGGCAATTAAATTTAACAGTGTTTTACTTTAGTAAATCAAAGCATCTTGTGAAAACTGATTTTATTTGATATTTTTTTGTATTCATTGTTACATTTATTTGATATTAAAATGACTCTGATGGTCTGAAACATTTGAGTGCAGGTCATAACACTTTGCTTAGCAGGTGTTATGACCTGCTAAGCAATTCAGCAACATCTTATGAATCACAAGCAATTCAAAAAGTCTTGTTTTTTTTTTTAGCTTTCAGTTAAAAAAAGTAACTCTGTGTTTCAGCATCTTTGCAGTTTTCTGTAAGTTTGTTCCAGATTAGTGGAGCATAGAAGCTTAATGCTATTTCTCCCCGTTTGGTTCTGATTCTGGGGACCCGGAGCAGACTAGAACTGGAAGACCTGGGCGGTCTGGGAGGTTGACACGACGACGAAAAATCTTTAATGTATTAATGAATTCATGTTGTTCAGGTGATTTAACTAACTACAGCATTATAACATCTATAGAATGACGTACAGCGTGAAGATTTCAGAACTGGGATGAGTTTCTCTAGATCTTACTGAAACATTAGTCCTCTAATCCTGAAAATGTTCTCCAGGTGATAGAAGACCGACTTTGTAACCGTCTTTATGTGACTCTGAGTCGAGCCTGAGTCCATCTGAGTCGGGATCGCTAGTTTCTACCTGTAATAACTGAACCAGGTTGAAAGTCTAACCCATCTAGAGTAGCTGTTTGGAAACCCGTTTAGTCACCGAAAGGAAAAGGAGTTTGTGTTTCGTCTTGCTAAAGCCTATAAAAACTAACGTTTTGTTTGTTTGTTTGTTTGGCAGTGAGCGAGGAGAGCTCTTATTCCTCGGACAACACCGAACCGGAGGACGACTGCCGGGGATGCCAGCTGCAGTGACGAGGCGGCCCCAGAGAGAGAGGAGGGGTGGACGGTGTTCCCCGTCTTCGTCTTCAGCAGACCCCAAGCATCGCCTCATGTAACCGTCGCCTCATTTAAAGGGCCCCTCAGTCATTATGAAGAGGTTCAGGGAAGAGCCAGAACTGAGCCATGTAGCTGTTTGTTTTAGAGACCATACCCACTGTTCACTCAGCTCAGCCTTTACTAACCGGATCTGAATATCACTGGGAATAAACTCCACACTCTGCTGCTGTCAAACAGACATTATTGTATATCTAGCTATGTTCACGCTGAGAACGAAGAGAGGAAGTCAGGGGGGGATGCAGTCGGAGTGCGATTCCTGATTTCTCGATCTTCAGAAACTGTGCTCCACAAGTCGGAGACGCGAGCTTTCGTCCTGCGTTCACGTCCTGGTGACAGAAGATGCCTTCATTAAAGTTTGATCAGGGTCTGCTCAGGGAGTCGAGGGTTGAACTGATCCCTTCAGACGGAAAATCCAGCACATTTAGGAAAAAAAGCTGATCGACGCTGTTCACCAAACTTTAAGTGAGTCACATCCAGAGATCCTGGGTGGGAGGGGGCGGGGTTCAGGTTAGGAGCTGCGGTTCTCCTGTGCTAAAAGAACATGTGATAACTGCTAAATTAATGTAACGCAGCGCATATTTTGTTGCTTAGGTTTTTCTTTCTCAAGGAGAAGGAGAAATGGGGGGGGAAGGAACGGCAGCCTCAGATCCCAGCGGAGCAGCGGAGGCGAGCTCGGCTACCGTCACGCACCCCGCGCAAATATCGACAAGGTAGATCCGTCTCTGTGCCTCAGCCCGAAACCGCGACAGCGAGGAACCGAGGAGCTGTGTCCATAAAGCGCTGCGCCACGCTTCCGCATGCTACACACACTACATAACCTCATGGACCGTTCGAGAGCTCAGGCAGGAGCTGACCTTTGACACCTGCTGACCTTTTTCTACATCCACGAGACATCCGCTCCCGACATGCGTGGTGATGGGGTTTTTTGTTTTGTTTTGTTTTGTTTCTTAGAGGGGAAAAAACTATTTAAAAAAAAAAACATGTAGATATATACTCCACTGTCGGCGGCATGTAAAGACACCGCATGCGAACAAGCGAGTGCCTCGAGAGTTGAAGGCAGACTCGCTTTCTTATTTTTCTGACTCTTGCTTGAAAACAGACGTGTGGCTTTCTCCGGCGTGGCGCTCAGAGTCCTCCCGCCTTCGCCTGGGAAAGCGGAGGCGAAAGGGGGAAAGGGAGCCTGTTCAACACAACACGACCGCCAGGCGGCCAAACCTCATTTTCTATTTACACGAGGAGAGAGAAAATCCCCCGACCCGCCCAGCCCTCTCCGCCTTTTCACCGACTCCGCGCTTCTCCTAGTGTCGTAGGCTGTAGCAGCACTTCAGTGTGACGAGCATGCCTTTATCATTTCCTGCCAGGACGTGGCGAAACCGTCGCCCGAGCCTCGCTCGGTAATTAATGTGTTGCATAGGCTGTGTATAGCCGCAGCGTTCAAAATACGTGAAAGTGTGAAGGTCTTAGCTGAGCATCTTTGCACTGTGTAACTTCTACCGCTCCACCGCAGCCAAAGTGACGTCACTGACTGTGGTGATTATTGTATCGTCATCAGTATTTTGTTCATCCTCTGACAACAATAAAAAGGTTCAAACACACTAGTGGGTATTTTTGGCCTTTGATTGTGGCGTTTGCTTTGACTTAAAGGTTCAGAGTTTTGATAGTTTTCTATTGGAGTTTGTGAATAATTGTGAAAACATTTTCATCTCATCTTTCTGGCTGGAGTTTTCATGTTCTCTATGTGCATGCACGGTTTCTCTCTGGGTACTCCGGCTTCCTTCCACACTTGTCAGGTTTAACGGGTTGGTCTGAATTGGTCTTAGTGTGTGTGTCTGACCCAATGATAAAATACCAATTAATTCTTAAATTTAAATAATATTATCGAACATCTTTTCAGTCCCTCTGGGATTCTGTGATTTTTATTTTTATTTTTTGCAATAAGAAGCATCTGTGGAAGTAATTTGGTAATAGTTGCGCTTATTTATGACGGTAAACGCGACTGTTTGTCACTCGTATCGATAATAGATTATAATCTGACATCAGTTAAGGCTGAGGTAACTGTTTAGTACAAGTAAAAAGGTTTTTCTGACAATTTTTGAGAAAAAAACTGTAATAAACTTCCAATCTTTAGCTCAGAAAAGTGCTGGAATTTGTTGATTTTTGTGAATTTCGACAATAATTCTGAAGAATCTCAAGGGACAGATTGATATGTTTTGGCAGTAAAAAAGACAAGAACTGCATTAATTTGGTTGATAACGTAATATTTAAGCAAATTCACTGTTTGGTCTAGAATCTAGAGGGCCGGATTTGGCCCACGGGCCTTGAGTTGGACACCTGTGCTTAAGACGTTTGTGATTTTGGCACCGTCCTGTCGATGAAAGGTCGACCTGCTTTTTAATAACACTCTTAAGGTCAAGTCTTTGTCAAATTCGAGCCCAAATTACAAAACCATGCTAGTGATTTTAAAAGTTGCTTGGGTTTGTGTAGATTTTTAGAGCTTGGGATCAACAGCATAATGTGATGCAGCAGAAACAAAATCATTGTCAGTCAGGGAGGCAATAACAGGTCACAACCACTAAAGAGGAGCTGAGCAAGCAGGATTCCACCAACACCACATTGCAAATGCAATCGTTTGAACCAGAAACACAATTTGGAAAACCTCTACAATTGCGGTAGCTGCCTTCTTCGAATCCGTACCCTGCAGTATTCAGACAGTCAAGGTTTTCTTCCTCTTATCCCCCCCCTCAGTCCCTTTTTTGTTTGTCCCAGGAGAAAATGATCTGCATATTTGCTCTGCAGCATTTTCTCCCTGGCACACTTCCACTGAAGTATAGATCTCCCCCCCTCAAGCCTTCTGGACGGCGGCCCGGGCCAATTACTGCCCGTCCGCCGAGGGCCGCTTGTAAGATGAATGCAAGCATTTTTGTGGGTAATGCCGTTTGGACTTCGCCTCCGTCAGCATCCAAACCCAATTCCCCGCAGACATTGTGACAAATGTGCACTTTTTGCTTCAGATGCGCGGCTTTAACTACAGCAAGGCGTTTCTTTTAGTTGTCATATTGTGATGTGGTTACAAGAGCTAAATCCACCTGGAACAAACATCTCAAGTGTTTTTTTTTTTTAATTCACTTCTCGTGACCGTCGTTGGATCGAATGTCACATGCGTTTGGTTTGCTGCGGGTCAGGCGGGCTTCGGTACCTTCCTCCCGTTCCACATCACCGGCTCCATGACGGATGGACATCCACTAGAGAAACACGTGGCAAAATCGAGGCCCGTGGGCCGGATCCGGCCCGCCGTAGCTTTTTATGCGGCCCTTTAGATTGTAGGCTAAACGCTAAGCGAGCTTAAGTATTGTGTTATCGATCAAATCAGTGCAGTTTTTAGGTTTACTGCCAATTTATGTCAATCAGTCCCTTAAGATTCTTGGGAATTATTTTTGGAAATTCACACAGAATCAACAAATCCCCACACTTCTTTGCGATACAGTAATACTTAATTGGGAGTTTGTTGGGAGTTGGGAGTTTGTTGCAGACTTTTTCCCCAAAAAATTGTCAAAAACATCCTTATTTGTACTAAACAGCTGCCTCAGCCTTAATTGGTATCAGAGTATTGTCCATGGTCTCATGGTCTCTACAGTGAGTAATTTTACCATCATAAATAAGCACAAATATTTTCCAAGTTACTTTGATTTTATTGCAATAACAGAAGTAAAATTACAAACAGTGTCGCAAAATCCTGAAGGGACTGAAAAGATGTTCAGTAATATTATTTGATTTTAAGAATTCAATGAGCAAGTTTTGTCAATACATTATGGCAAGACCGGCCCTTTAAGAGCCGTTCATGGTATTGATTTGGCCCAAAGCGAAAATGCAGGTCACAAACGATAACATAATGTTTACGGATGTGTTTGCCATGTGTTCAGCCGCAGAGCAGTGCATGATTGTGATGTTTAAAGGAAAGGGTATGTGGGTTTGTTTTGTTTTCACAAATAAGAAACTGAGATGTGCAGCTTACGTTAGCATTTAGCCAGGAACTCCTTATTGGTGCATTTCTGTCATTTTTTTGCGGCTTGTTCTCTGTGTAAGCCATATTGGATAGAAAGACTCCCAGAACATTGATTTTCAAGACCTGACACAAATTTGTGGATACATTTAAGTTTGGACTTTAACTGGGCCAATAAGCCGCCTCTTCAGTCTTGCGTAGACTCACTTTATGCTGTGGGTCGCCATCATGTGAGTGACGGTTATTGTTAGATTTCCTCCACACATTGCATCATGTACAACGACCAAAACGTTCAATTTTGGTCTCATCTGGTCAGACAACCTTTCACGTTTGCCGTGTCGTCTACATGGTTCGTAAAAAAAATGATTGCGCTTGGCTTTTACTATTGTTCTGCAAACATGAGGTTCTAGAAAGGGAATGAATTTATTTCACAAATCCTAATAAGCAACTCGCATTCCTGTTTGCCCTCTGCACGTTTTATAGCAGTGGGTTCTTTTTCATCGCTTTTTGTTTTACTTTTTTTTTTACTGTCTGGAACAAATGTTGACTGATGCTGTTGGAGACAATATTCCACTTTCTGGGCTCAAATTTTTGTGGAGTTTTTAAAACATTGTCGTTCTTGAGAGTGCAAACTATTAACCTCGAACATGACTGAACAGTTAAATGACAAAAATCTAAAATTGCCATATTTTGACTGCAGGAACACATATGGTGTAAAGCAGCTTAGATTTGTTCCAATTATACTGTTTGTAAAAATTCTCCAAAATCAGCTGTTTTAAGTTCTTGGTTTGGGAATTTTGAACCCGATTTAAACCCCCCAGACTCGCCTGATATTAAAGAGGTCTTGGGACTAAATAGGTAAATTATTTATCTCTATGTTTTCATCTTTGACCTTTATGTCCACTTCAGTATTCTGTGGCTTAATACCTATTCACTCGTTTTCATTGATTTGAAAGAACGTCTTGCTTCTCTACAGTTATTACAACAAATAGAGATGTCATTTGGTTTAAGACTCTTTTATTAAGAGATTCAGTCTACATACATACAAACTTTAAAAATATGTCTTATATTCAGGATATATTGAGGTCCATAGCTGGGACAAATAACATGCAAGTAGCTCCAGACAAGATTATATATTCTGGGTGGAAAATACTTTTTTTTTTTCAGGATTAATACATGATAGGAGTATAATACCGGTGTTAGATACATGTAGAATTAGATTCCAAGACATGCTATACTGATAGCTTGGATTAAAGAAAACCTGCTGAATCCTTTTCATTTGCAACCTTCTGTCATACATAGGTCTGACCATTAGGGGTCAGCACTAAGCCCCTTTTTAAGCCTCGTCTGGCGAACTTCCTCCATCAGTTCTTTCAGATACTCGATCTCCCTGGCCATGGATTCGGCCTTCTCCGTCAGCTCCACGTTCTTCCTCTCCAGCTCAGCGTGCTCCACCAGAAGAGCGCCTTGCTCGGCTCTCTTCTTCTGCCTGTAGCGCGTGGCGGCCGTCTTATTCTGCTCCATCTTCTTCTGCTTCTTGTCCCTTGGCGCTTTCGAAGTTGACCTTTCAGTTCCGCCTGCAGCCAGGGCAGACTGTAAATCATCAGTGCTGGCAGAGGGTGGGCTGGCTCTGTGCTTGGGATCAGGGTAGGGCCTGCTTCTGGGGGACTTCTGCGGCGGAGAGGCCGACAGGGAGCGAGGAGCGGCGGCCGCTGTGACCCCGACGTCGTTATTGGGAGTCAGAACGAGGACGATGCGCGTCGGGGAAAGTGAGAGGACGATCTTTGGTGCCTGAGGCACCACGGAGGCTACGACGGGCTTCACCTCGCTCTCGGAGATGTCCACCTCGCTTCCGAGGTCCAGCGTGAAGGCCGGAGAGGACGGGGAGTCGACCACGCAGGGGGACGGGCCGGGAGAAGCAGGTTCGGACTTAACTTCAAGCTCCTCTTGAGGCTCTGGGACCAGGAGCGGGGAGGAGGGAACTTCTTGCCCACCGGTGAGGGATTCAGACTCGTCTACTGCGGTGACAGAGGGCTCAGAACCGGAGACAGAGGGGACATGGGCAAAGGAAGCAGAAGGCGCACTTGAGAGGGTTGGCAGGGGGAAGGGGTCGAGCTCCATGGGACAATCCAGGGAAGCAAGGAGGTCTTCTGGAGAGCTGGGGGCATCTTCAACAGGACTGCAGGAGCCAATCAGAGAGTCCAGGTCAAAGTCACTTAGATCCACCCTCTCAGCCATCCAGTCCAGATCGCTGAGCGCATCGTCTGGAGACAATAAAAACACCATAAGTACCAATCCTCACACAAATAAACATAAGATATTTCCCGTAATCACCTTTGCTGTCCCCCGAAACCATCTGGCTCGATCTCGGCTGAACGGGGTGGTCCAACCAAGAGAGGGGGGGCAGGTCGGACTCTGTCCCGGCTTTGTCCCCGCCGAGGTCAAGAGCTGGCGGTGAGGGGGGAGGAGAGTAGAAAGGCGGAGGGGAGGATGAAGAAGAAAGTGCCGAGGAGGCGAGAGGCGACACGCGCCCCGGCGGCGAGCCTCCTCCGCCTTCCTGTCGTCCGTCTTTGTCAGGGTGAAGAAACGCGAGGTCCATGGCATCAACCATGGGAGAGGAAGGCCCCCAGAGAAGGGCCTCCATGTCTTCCAGGCCAAACTGTGAGCTTGTCATCGTCATGGTCGTAGTGGTGGTTGTTGGTCACAAAAGGGGCGTGTGACGAAGTTAGGGTGGCGGTCAACTCTTTTATGCTGTCAGAAGCAGCAGTGCTGAAGGTTTCCACGTGGGACCTGAAATGTGAAAAGCAAAGGTTTGTGACACATTGTTTAAGACTTCACAAACATTAGATGAATAAGAAATGTTTCATGTAAAGAAAAAAAAAACAGTTTATTTTGCAGGAACAGACTTGGCATTTTACTATTTTTACTTAGGACCTGTACTTGTCGGCCATGATGTAAGAGGCAGCCTCACATGGAAACCAAGAAAACCAGGGGTGAGTATAAAAAAATCAACTCCCACTTAACTAAATTTGCCCCATCACTTTCAAATGAGTGTTAATTTTCCCACATAACTGAGCGAAAGCTGAACTATATGTCAAATTTAAATATCAAAATTCACCTAAATTTACCTCAGAATATAGCAAACTCCTAAATTTAATGTATATGTACTTGTAATAAAAGTATATTTTGTGCTTTTTCAGCACTTTCATCACACTTAGAATTAAAGATGTGGATGCAAAACCCTTAAATCTTGCTTTCCAATCATTACTTTAATATCAATCAATCTCTATGCATGTGTGTAATAAGACTTTAGATGTTTTTATTCATAACTTTGAAAGGAAAATGTTTAGCAAATGTTAAATAAATTATTTTCTCCTAAAAATTGTGCCTGAAAAAGAAAAAAGAAGTCTGCATATTATATAAACACTGCCCCCTATGGCTGCAGTTGCGCTTTTGTTACATCACCAGTCTCTTCCGTATTACCAGGCGTGTGACTCTGACGTCAATGCGTAACAACGTCTCAAAAAAAAAACAAAAAAAAAAAACCACACACCCTCCTTTAACAACAGCGGCTACTTTTGTTCTAATTCCGCCCACAGAAAGCCGCCATCTTGACACAATACACACATGATCTGTTTTCTGCCACGTTGGCACCAGAGCATGGCAGACATTTGACAAGGACACAAAATTATTTTGGCTTTAACGGAACTATTCCGTACCTAACTGCATTACTAAGACCTGTCGAGCTTTATTTATTTATTTTAATAAATGTTACATATTTTATAAGCTATGACGTTAACGTAAAAAAAGAAAAAAACGTTTGAATAATCATTAAAAACATACACATCAAATAATCACACATTTCCCTTGCAGTGATTTTATCGTCCTTATAAAAACACCGGCAGCATCATCAGCCGGGAAGTAGGCCGGCCGGCCGGCCGGCTGTCATCGACAAGAAGTGACCAAAATGATACTTACGACATGTTTCTGAGTTAAGAGGCGACTCAGTGCACTGGCTGGATGCACTGTTTTGTTTGTTGCTGCTGGGTCGCGGCACACGTTTACACTGCCATTTCGGCAAAGACAGCGATGTCTAACTACGATGTTGTTCGGGGTGTTGTTCTTCTCAAAGCAAAATGGCGCCCGCTTGTAGAACTGGGGATATAGAGCTGAAGCGCAGAGCGGCTAGAGGTATCCCTCCGCAGACATCTCTCATATCAGTACGCTCACCAGGAAACTGTGGTGAAGAGATGGAGAACTAATTCTGCTGTTTATCATGACAGCAAAGAAGTTAATTTCAAACATAATAAAAAAATATATTTATTTACCTACCTCGAGATTGATATTTATTATTGATTACAATGACTGCAATGTTTAAAAAAAAACAGAGCAAAGCTATCTTGGAAATTATAGAAAAACTAGTCTTGCAAGTTTTTGCCACTGGACTGGAGAGAATATTCTTTATCAAATTACAGCAACCACGTCTGAAGGAATTTGTTGCTGCTTAAAAAGTTTTTATTCGCTGCAGGAGGAAAAATAGAACCCAGCTTATTTGTTTAAGAAGAAAAATACTTTATGGACTGTAATCTTAAAACAGTAAAACACAGAGCCAGCCCAAGGCACAAGCAAACTAAGCAGCTCTGCAGGCCCCCCAGACTTTATAGCTAAATCTAATGTTTTGATTTGGAGATTTAGGTTTGAGCTTGATCTGTTCACAAATACGTCTCAGCAAGTAACTAGTTATCAGTGATTACGTCTAAGCTCAGCCAAATACTCGACATCAATAGGGCAAAAACAAATAGTAGAGCATCTGCTCCTTCTTGTCAAAAAGAATCTGGTCCCCTAGAATAAACTGAATGATATCACAGAGAAGAGAAATACCTGCGGGTTTCCCCCTGGAAGTGGAAGAAAATGGATGGACTTTCCTTTGTCACATTCTTTCTGATTAACTAAAAGTACATGGAAGATTGATTTAGAAAATATTTAATACAAACCAGGCATGAATTTCTAAATCACAGATATACCTTTTACATCCAAAAATTGAAAGAAGGCATCTTCCACTGTGAGGAAATATCATGCAGTAAATATCATCCTCCAGCAGGAGATCAAAACGACTTTAATCAGAGTCGTTTTGACTCGTGCAGGGGACGCAATCTTCACTGTCAAGATGTGGAAACTAAATAACAGAGCCATCATTTTTGTTACAAATCTGTTTATTAAGAGAGTGAAACTGTGCTATTTTAACTCGGGATTTAGATAAAACAGCTGAAAAAAATGTACAATAACAGAGTTTTACTTTTATGATTTACACTTTGAGAACTTAACATAGTATGTGATTTATGACTTACAGGATGTGTTCACAGTGATTTATAGCTTTACGTATTTCAGACCAGAACACACAATTTGAAGGAAGGTCGACATGTTACACTATCTTTAACAATCGGCAGTAGGCGGATTTAGCAAAAAGTGTCCATGCACGCATACCAAAGGAGTCAAGTTATATTTTAATACTTTATTGAACTTTGACGTCAAACTCAGATTTAAAAATGTGAAACCATAAAACTTGATTAATTAATAGTGACTGCACAACCTCAGGCTTTTTATTATGATACCTCGGTCCAAATTTTTTAATTTCATTTTATTTATATTTTTTGCACTTTCCTGTGTGACATAACAAGTTGATCTTGGCTCATTTTCAAAGTAATTTTAGTTTTTGTAGCGCTCCGGGGCTAACATCCATGTCTACATAAACTACCTGATCAGGGGAAGAAAAAGTAACTCAACCTTCGTTCCTTCAGGAAAGTGCATAGAACCAGTTTAGTCATGACTAACACACCATGTGTGCTGAAATAATGAGACTAAAATATACAAAATTAGTAATATGCAAGTTTAGCATATTAGAATATGTATCTATTAACTAGTCTTTGATTTTGTAATAATACAAACGTTACAGAGCAAATTATTTCTACAATAAAGCAAAAAAAAGAAAAGAAAATGCAGTTATGAATGAAGTAAACATACAAATTTATTGGCCAATAGTTAATAATATATTACAATATTTTCAATATGTATCCCTCACATCACAGGCACAAAGACACAGTAATCTGTTTTTAAGTTAACACTTCCCACATTTGATCTAGATAATTGAGTTCTTCTTGCAGGTTTTTAACCAGAGTGCACACTCTGCCCAAAAATTTGCTCTTGTTCGACTTCTTCAGCTTCTGGCCTTTCTTTTCCGTGAAATACTCATCAAATTCCGATTCGAATTGCTTGAGCATACTTTCAGACGTCAGCCCTCCAGAGTTGTTAGGAGACACCTGCCTGCTTTTGTTGGACACAACCTTCGACAGCTCCGCCATCCTGAGCGCGTCCGGGTGCGCTCCGGCCCGGCTTAGCTTGGCAATGTTGTGTCTTTGCAGCTCCTTCATCAGACAGAGGATGTAATTCAGGCAATGTTCCAGGTCGGCAACATCTGACTTGTAGGCATTTACAAGCTTCTCGACTGTCTCCCTGTTCACAATCTTCTTGTTGGCCGTGGCGACTTTCACGCCGACACCTCCGGCCGATGTTGCGACAATGCCAGCCCCAACAGCGGTCGCGATCAGTGAGGCTCCCATGGTAACAGGGGCCAAGGCGATGCCCACCACTGCGGCCACGCCTCCTACTGCACTTGTTGTACCACCAGCTATTCCCATTGTTTTATTTGCTTTCTGCACTTTTTCCAGTTTTTCACAGATGGCCTTGAACTCGTCGAGGATCTTCTGTAGGGGATCCTTGCGTTTCTTCATGAGAAGGTTGTAGAGACGCCGGGCTTTTCTCACATGCCAGGCCTGCTGATCGAAGGATCTGCAGAAGAAGACAACGGAGGTGTATGGAAACAAGACTTTGGAAGAGTAGAGGAAAGGAAGTTGACAAAAGGGGCTCGGATGCTAGTTTGAATTTCTTACCTCATTTCATCCTCCATACTGAGGCCATACAGCGACATGGTATCAGATTGTCCTGTAAAGAATACGTGCAGACAAATTAGATGCAACATTTGAATATTTTTGATCAGTTCCTCATAGCAATAATTCCTTTTAACTACAGGAATTGGCCCTTTACCACTAGCACCCTAACAGTGCATGAGATAAGGACTCGGCTCAACTCTACTCCAAACAGTTCGGTTACTTTTTCATTACAATTGAGTAACATCTGGTGGGTTGGATCATCATAAAGGGGGGAACACCACAGTTAGAAAGGTAGTGCTATGAAATTTGAACATGATACAAACAACGTGACAATGGAGAACATGGAAGCTATGCTGAACATTTTGCTCAGTCTGTGGCTGTTTGTCAGATTCAGTGACTGTTGTGAGTTTTAACAACTGGCTTATTAGATAGATAGATAGATAGATAGATAGATAGATAGATAGATAGATAGATAGATAGATAGATAGATAGATAGACAGACAGATAGATAGATAGATAGACAGACAGACAGACAGACAGACAGACAGACAGACAGACAGACAGACAGACAGACAGACAGACAGACAGACAGACAGACAGACAGACAGACAGACAGACAGACAGACAGACAGACAGATAGATAGATAGATAGATAGAGTAAGGAAGTTGTTCTTGTGACACATAACGACTGGTCACAATCAGTCAGTCAATCGGTCATCGATTGACCAGGCGATCAATGACAGAGTCTTCTGACATTGAGTTCTCTTAATCAAGAATGAGAAGTGTATCGAAACGAATGATTTATTTTAATTAGCTGTCAAATTGATTGGTGTAATAATATTTAATATTAATATTAATAATATTAATAATATTTTACGTAACATCATCACAAATTTTCTTGTAGTTTTTAAATCAAAGGGAACCAACACAGTTTGTCACCTTTAACCACAGGACAGCATAACAATGATCTTTTGTAAAGACGTACTTACTGGACTCTATCTTTAACCACTGCAGCAGCTCGGCGACATTCTACAGGAAACAGGTTATTTTTGTTAAAAACAATGGCAAGACATGATGGGTAATTAAACCGTATCTCAGTTCAGCTCCAGCACAGAAAAACTACTTGATCACTTACATCTTGAGTGAATTGATATATGTCGTTGTAGGTGCTCTGGTTATCATCTTCATAACGCTGTGCCTGTGTCCATAGCTAATAGTATTTAACATGAATAAATAAATAAATAAGTAAAATGTGTTTCTGAGTATTGCTAGCTCTGCCTCTTTTGAAGTCAGTGGAAACAGCTTCTTACCCTGTTGTAATGATCATCCGGTAAAACTATTGTGTACTGAGGGTTCACAATGTCAGTGTATTGAGATGATCCTGAGTGACTTCCCATTTCGTATAAAGATGAAGTTTCACTGCTCTGCAACAGACCACAGCGGATTCAGCAGTCAGTTTTGATGTCTAAGTAATGAGTGTCATTTTTTCAGTAATGTTGAAACTTTCAAACAAATTCACAAAATCAACAGCAGCTGAAAGGTGAGTTCAATGTATAAACATTTCTGACTTTCTATGGCCCAGTCACACAAAATCCCATCAGAAAAACCAATGTCTGCGATTGTGATGTAAATTCATTGGTGAGGGTGGGTTTTGGCGCAAATATTTCACCCTGAGGCATTGTGCTGGAGGTGTTATGATCTGGAGTCAGTGGCCAAAGTCACAAATTGTCAAATCAACAAATTGAATAAAAAGCCTCTAAAGCATCGAGCAGTTTAAAAATTCTGCATAGAGAATTTGACTGGAGTAACAACAGTTGACAAAATAAAGGCATTATGTCAATCAAGCTGACCTGGAAGCTTTAATTCAAACATCAAGACAATGTGAACTGGACTGATAAAGGAATAGCTGCACCTCTTCTAACTAATTACCATTTTATGTTTGTCTAGGAAATGAGTAGCACTGTCCTACCGTTTCGCTTGACATGTCCAACATTGATGTGCTGTGATAGACACGCGTTTGAGGCCCATGTCTGCTTCTGTTGTCTCTATGCTAGAATTGAAAATATTGTTACTGCATTTGGGAAAGAAGCACCTTTGGAATTACCTGGCTTGAAGGTAATCTGATCAAAACGGTAATGAAAATAAAAGAACAAGTGAAAAAGTACCTTACCTGTGGGGTAGGATTTACTTTGTCACAATATTGAGGGTTGTTTGGTTCCAGGCCAGGAGGAGGCAGAGGAGGCAGATTCTTAAAAAGTGAATAGAAAAAGAAAACAAATACAGAGTCATGAAACACCAAAGTTAAATCAACTTTGAAGTCATTTACTACTATTGAAGTCAGGTATGGGTAGAGTATTTTGGGGAGATACCCAAAAGGTGTAGGTCATTGCTGTTTCTTCTATTTGCAAACTTCTCAAATACAGAAAAAGTATTTTAAAAGGAAACAAAAAGTTGTTCTGCCGTAGTACGTACCTTAACCCTTGTATTTGAATTTGTTCTTGAGGTATAATCCTGTGACGCGTCTGCAGCTGTTGAGTATGGGCCTTTGGACTCGGGAGCTGAAGGTGGAAGGAGAGCTTGGCGAGCAGACCGAGGTGTCATGTAGTCGTTTTGGTGACGCTGTTCATGAAATGACATGCAAAAATACTTACTGATATTTGACTGAAAAGGGTAAAAAACCTTGAAGATATAAAGTGCATCAATAAGCTTGACCAGTCACTGGAAAAGGAGTTTTTGCTCTACCCATAATGTCTTACCTCAACACTTGACAGGTCCAACATTGAGCTGCTGTGATGCATAAGAGGTTGAGATGAAGATGAAGCTTGATGTCTGCTTTTCACGTCTCTCGTCTAGAATTTAAAATACGGTTATTAAGTTTGGTCAAACAAGCGGATGTTGAAGCTTTTTCAGAATTATCGTATGAGAAAGTAATCTGACCAAACTGATTAAGGCAATGTTGGGGAAATACCCAACAGGTGTTGATGTAGAGCTTTGATGTTTCTTAGCAAAAATACAAAGTAAGGCCATTTTCAAATCTCTAAAACTCACGCAAGAGGGAAAAAAAGCATCTGTTTAAAGAATATACTTGCTTTAATACGTACCTTAACACTTGTATTTGAATTTGTTCTTGTGGTATAATACTGTGACGCATCTGCTGCTGTTGAGTATGGGCCTTTGGACTCAAGAGCTAAAGGTGGAAGGAGAGCTTGGTAAGCAGACCGAGGTGTCATGTAGTCGTTTGAGTTCTTTCCGTTTTGGTCACTCTGTTCATAAAATGACATGTAAAAATACTTATTGATATTTGACTGAAAAGGGCAAAAAAACACTTTGAAGGCATAAAGTGCATTGAAAAACTTGACCAGTCACTGGAAATGTAGATGTAGAGATGTCGGTGTTTCTTAGCAAAAATACTAAGTAAGCCAATTTTCAAATCTCTAAAACTCACACAAGAGGAAAAAAACCATCTGTTTAAAGCATATATGTGCTATAATACATACCTTTGCACTTGTCGCCAGTTCTGAATTAGTTCCCATGTTATAAATCTCTGGACTGTCTGCTGCTGTTGATTTTCCAACTATGGTCTTGGGCGGTGTGGGAGGAGGCTGGCGGGCAGACCGAGGTGTCATGTACTCATCGAAGTTCTTCATTCTTTCATAACTCTGGTCACGAAATGACACACAAACATTTTTTGTGTCAGCAAGACAACGTGAGAGAAACAGACAAAAGTCAAACAAACATTCTCCGCTTACTGCATCGTTCTTTGTGTCGCCTGTTCTGTCTGAGGACTTAGCTGGGTTGGCATTGTGGGTTCTGACTGCATCATGGGTTGAGTTGACTGTGCTAGAGGTGGTTGAACTGGGTTTTCTGGAGTTGTGAGATTTGGAAGCTGTGTTAGCATTGGTGGTGGTTCCAGTCTCGTAGGTAGTTTTAGTGCTGTTGGCAGTCTGTGTGGGGTTGGCGTCGAAAGCTGTTCTTGTTACATAGCCTGTGACGGCGGTGTTATCGTTGTGTCCTGAGTTGATCGTGTGGATGTAGTTTCCTTTGGTTGTGTTGTTGGTGTCAAGTTGGAGATTTGGTTTGGATTTGCTCCTTGGACGAGGCACAGGCCTGGGTTTAGCCTCTGGTTGACTCACATCTGGGTTAGAAGCCTGAAACAAATGGGTCAATATCACTGAAACACATGTCTGAGTTACTATTTCTCCACGTTTAAAACATCTTAAGGAATGAAGTTCCATCAAATTACCAGTAATGCGTCCGGGTCTTCGTAGATAGCTTCAGAACCTACGTCTGAGACACTCGTAGACTCTTGCGTCTTGCTTCTCTTTGGGGCCTTTTGTGGCTTCAAAGAGTGAGTAATGAGAAACGTTACTTTAGCTGAGGATGCTTTTCTCTTTCTGAAACCAATTTATCTCAAAAATCAATGCCAGAGATTTACTTTAAAAAAAAAAATCTTTCAGCTCTGCCTGCTTCAGGCACAGGATTTCAGAATTTTGTGGAAAATCATCATGATTACTGTACGTTTGGTGATAATGTAGCCTATTTAACGCTGTAGTTAGTGGTAGTTGTTTTATTTAGAACTACAAGAATGCAGGATAATTGGCTAAACATTGAAGCAACATTTACTTGGTGTTTTGCCTTGATGACGGATGCGACACAGTCTTATTTAAACTATTAAAAATGTATTGACATTTTGTTTTCATTTTCAAAACATGTTATAGGTTTATGTTGTAGCTAATAATAAGTTCAAAAAATATAATAAACCTACAGTAAATTTGTCATAATCTCGGTTTTCCCCATTAAAACATACTTTAATCACAATTTGTTAGGTTGCACAGCTGACCAGTATTAAGGTCAAAGTGCTAAATACAGAAGCCTATACATGGAGCTAGACAAACCCAGCATGCATTTCAACACCTTTTGTTGCATTTATGGCATTTCAAATGAGACTGGCATTGCAGAACGAGTTCTCACCTGTAAGTGAGGGACGTCAGAGAAGATGCTGCAATAGAGTCGAGGTGGGAGTGCAGGTGGGACTGCAGGTCCAGTTGTTTTGCCTGGAGCCTGAGAGGAAATAGGACGCTGTTATCGTCTAAAAGTCGACCGAATCTTGATATCTCAGATGAGCATCTTGTGAAATGTATGCTTTTTGTGACGTCAACCTCAGCAATCTTTGGAATGCTTTGTTCAAAACATGTCAACCAAACTTCTTACTTCATCATTTATGAAATCTTCGGTCCTCTGACGGCACAACATCATATTTATAATGGCACACTGTTAGATTTGAGTCTTTTTAGTGCTTTCTATAGTAGGCAAAGTATGTTTACGTGTTCAGAACCAGGCATACAAAGAGCTTTGCGGGAAAACAAAGGAAAATAAATTTATTTATTCATGTGAAACAAATAAATATGTCAAATTAAAGAAGTTATTAAAATGTCAACAATAAAAATAACAAATAAATAAAGGTCCATAAACAGATGGTGCCTGGTGTGCACACGGTTCATACCTGATGAGATTGTTTTAAAACTAATTATTAATACAACTCTAAAATTTTACAAAATCTTACCAACAGTAAGCCAAAGCAGTAGGTTAAAACTGGTCTCATAGTTCAATTTCCTGCTGCTAGTCAGAATCCCAGCAGTTTCATTTAGATTAGACTCAAAGACCAAAAACTTTCATTACAATGAACTAACCAGTCTTAAATGAAAGTTTGCACCGGTTTTCCTTCAACTGTTTTGATGTGAAAACAACTGTGTGAAAATATCCCAGTGGACTGAGAATACACCCTTGAGGAACCCCACATAGGATCTTTTTTTTGCTCAAGTTTATACCAAATGAATGTGTGCTGAAGACAGCAGTAAGATTTAGTAAGATACTGTTAAGAATTAGAGGAATAACTTCACTTGGCTCACTAATTTTCCTCTAGTTCCCAGATTCCGGTCTCGCAGGTGCAGTGGAAATAATAAAGAAACAAGCATTCGACATCAGACTTCAGATATATCTATAGCTTTATCCAGAGAATTCAATGCATACAAAATGTTACATCAGCATTACACCCAGATCATCAAGAAGTCCAACACTTAACAAAATATAGCGTTACCTGCAACGAGTTGAAAAGGAAAGACAAAAATGCATTTTTGGGAATTGCTCACCCGAGCACAAAGCAATTCGATCTTCCGCTGTAAAACAGACCTTTTTGTGAGGATGTGGATTCCCTTCATTTAAATATATGCATTAGAAGGTGTGTCCTCCCTTGCAGGGCTGTTTTAATGTTAATTTTATTACCCTGCTTGAGAACTGCTCGTACCAGTCGACTCCTTTTACTTTCCAGACGAAAATTTATGACCTGCAGCTAGACGCAATGGCTCTCTGTCTCAGTAATTCAACAAGAAACTGATTTCTACTTGAAACAAACTGGCACAAAAATCTATTGCCAAATAATAACTGGATTTAAAAACTGCAGGGTTGTCTACTTTTAGGAAAAACTCTTTTGAAATACCTGAAATGTTTTGGAAGTAAAATAATTTCCTAATCCTATTGTATTTCAGTAATATAAAATGCGTGCAAATAGTATAGTTAGAGACTAACTAATTCAGAACATGCTGTTAATGCTTAAGGGAACTATCTTAATACATTTGATTGTACTGGTAGAAGATTTTTCTTAAAAGTTTTAGTGTTTACTGAACTCTTAACCAACACTAAAGAATTCACTGATTCTGATAAAAGACAGACTCTCTGTGGCTAAATGGAGCACAACCCCCGCCTGTCTGAAGACCCTCCTTAGTAATTTATGTGAGAGTAAACCGTTGTTTTAGTTGTGGATCTTTATCTAAGTTTACCTAACTTAGAATCTACTCAAAATGTTCATGCTAGATCTAATATTTCATATGGGCAAAGATTGAGTGTCTCTAAAGTTATGCTAACCAAACTTATATTCTCCACAATACCAAGTCAGACATTTCTGATTGATGAATTTTAAAATCTATACCATTTAAAACAAAAAGTGTAAATGCTGAAGAGATTCGGCAATTCCACACATAGCTCTTGTTATTTTTTTGATGCGTTGAGGAGGACACCTTAAGTTCATCAGAAAGTAGTCAAAGGATAAAAAGTTGTGTTTGTCCAGCGTCAAAACAATCAAAACAACGGAAAAATGAAACCAGCAGCATTACAGTGAAGTGTCACAATTGGCCTTGTTTTTACTCCGATGAAGTTTTTAGGTGGCAGGAAGTAAAACAGTATCCCTAAACACATTTTCACAGCAAGAATTTTTATTTTAAAGTTGCTTTGGCTTAAGTGCTGTCTAAAATGCAGCCATGTGTGCTTTTTGTGAACATTATTGGATAATTAATGAAAGACATCAAATAATCTGATTGCATGGTGCATGTTTTGTTGTTGTTTTTTTGATTCCACAGCACTGCTTGGGCTTCTGTTTGTTTGTTTCTGGAATCCAGTCCTAACAGGAAATATTGCAGGTCTTCTCTACACATTAGTAGCAATCACATTGCCTCTAATTCCCATTTTTTCCAAGAAGCACCAGTTTTATTTTATTCTTGCTGAGCCTTGTTGAAAGAAAATCTAGGATGACGTAACATTTAACAAAAGAGTGAGGCTCAAACGACCTTTTGCTACAGTAAATAACGAGGAATCCACCTTCATTTAGCATGTTGTAGCCTAATGCCTAGTGCAGCTCTCATAAACTCTCCACAGGGTTGAACCTCAAGCCAGGAGTTAGTTTTTTACCCGTTTTTTTTTTAAAGCAGTTGCTTTCACTTTGAAACAAACTGCAGAAGTAAATTGACCCTTTCTTGTCTTTCACATCCCACATTGGACAGATGTTTGCTCTCAAACAACCCACCTGCTTCGCTGCAGCACTTTCTACTCTGAAGACGATGTTGAACTCATTGAGCAATCGGCATGTTTGAATTTGTTTCAGATCCCAACTTGTGCAACTCCACCATTGACTTTGCTAAATGTACATCCCAATTAACTCAAGGTCCAATACGTTCTTTATGTTTGTTGGAAATCAAAATAAAGAACACTTTCTCTCTCCGTTTTTCTCATTTTCAGGAATATGAATTCAAGTCACTGATACAGATAAATGCGGTTTCTTCTTACCGTCATGTTCCAGCTCCGTCCCGTGTTGGCTGGTGAGCAAACACCAAGCTCGACTGATGGATTCCCCCAAAGTGCATTCACATTTGTGCATGCCTCTTGAAAATGCCAAGGCTCCACCTTTTCCCATTCGCGATCTCAATCTACAGTCCAGATGACTCTACAGGTGTGATATGTATGCGCAATGACTGAAACCACCAGGAAGGACAGTAGAAATATGTGGGAGGATCCTATTTTTGCTGCCAGACGGACTTACCGTACATTAATGACGTATCTTGGAAATCTGCAAACTTACATAACCCATTTCTCTAATGAGAAAGTTTCAGTTTGAGTGATATGAACCTTACCTAAAACCATTTTCTCTCTCGCAGTGTAATAACTGGCCCGTGAAGACGAGCAGCTGCTTTTGTTCGCAGTTTGTCTGTTTGTGAATGTCATCGTTTTGCTTGAGCGTCATTTTCTGTCTCTCGGTTCTGCGATTTTCTTGGATGGGGACTTTCAACTCAAACTTGCTCAGCAGGCCCGACTAGCTCTCTTTCTGGAATGATGCTTAGTCATGAAGTCTGAAAGTCTCTGTTGGAGGATTTGATTTTTTTTTTTTTTTGACACAGTTTGGAAAAAACAAACAAACAATGAGCTCAACAAATGGCTTTTTAAAGAACAATTTCTTAAAATATATAATGTATATATTATAATGTATATAATATATAATAACTCATGAGGTCCTTTGGATCTACAATCATTTCAGATGTTTTTAAGTTAAAATATCACATGCTTAGATTATGTCTGAGTATGCAAAGATAAAAAGGATTTCAAAGTGGAATGATTTTACTAATTTTTATGTAATTTCTTTGTGATCAGCTTTGATGTTGCTGAACATCAAGCACCCCAAATATTGAGACTGTTAGTCCTTTCTGTCTCGTTTGACTCTTAGGCCAGAGGCCTTTGCTGCATATTTTCCTGCCTATTTTCATTCTCACTGTCAAAAAAGCCAACTGTTTAAAAAAAAATCTATATCTTTTTTTTTTTTCTTTAGTGGCACACCACAAAAATATTTGTTATTGGCTGGATATGATAAAAACCCCATAGAAAACTTGATATTTACAGCAGTGGGTAGAGGAGGTTTCACGTATCCAGGTCATTTTTACTATGTTTATGTCTTGGGGCGCTCCCTCTCTACCTATTGATTGATATGTGACATTGTTTATGTTGCAACGTACAGATAATATGAAAATGTTTGTGGGTGAGTATTCATGGATTTATGTATATGTACGCGTATATATGAATGGATAAATGAACTCATATTGCAGCTCAATATATGCTGGTTTCAACTGTTTAAATGTAATATGACACATTACATGGTGAGCCATATTGTCTGTTTGTTCTTTATGAGTCAATTTTCACATTTTAATTTCTGTATTTATGTTTGTGCTGCTTTATTGTGTCTGCTCATTGGTTCTTGGGGACAAAAATATTATGTTGAACTGAATTAATACCTTTATCAAAAACCTCAAATTGACACCAATGCTTCCATATGTACCCATATGTATACATTTTAGGTACATACGTTTTTTTGTTTGTTTGTTTGTTTGTTTGTTTTTTTACATTACATATAATATATTACTGTAACTCCACATGCAAGTGGAAGCCTGGTTGCAATCATTAGTATTTTCGCTACTTTTATATAATTTTACTTAATAACCTGCGGTGACCCTACGGTTTAGGTTAGGAACCACTGTTCTCCAGCAATTTCTAACACTGTTTAGGTGGAATTTTTCCAAAATTCAAAATTCAACAGTTTTTCTATCATAATAATCCTATTTAGGCTCTTTGCAGGGTTATAATTGGCTCTGCCTGTTTCTTCAGCAGTTGATTTCAAACGTTTTGGCATCTTCAACAGAAGCATTCAGTATTCACACTCGTATTTTGGCAGGAAACGCACACTTTCTAGTTCTTGTATTCACGTAACAACTGGGGACAGAGTTACTTGAACGCTTACGTTCTTCGGCCAATCAGAGCCCCTGGTTGGTTAGGTTCTATTTCCATCCAATGACAGAGCTGCACGGGAGTAGCCGAGAGAGTCCGGACATTTCCGAAGGATCTTTTAGCTTGGTGCGTCAGTTTGAAAAGTGGGCTGTGACCCGTTTGCCTCTGAAGTGGGAAGTGGGTTCATTCTCTCGTAAGGAGCTCAGACATGAGACGACTCGGGATGCTTTGTGTTGTCTTGGCGCTGCTCGTCGCTCAATGCGCCGCCGTCGTAAGGTAAACAACATTTCTCACTTGTTTAGCTAGCAACTCATCAGGTCCAGGAATGCGCGTGCGTCACTGAACGCGGGTTCGATTCCTCTGCAGCCAGCGACATTAGTGGATTAGTTTATTTAAAAAAAGAAAGAAAAAAGAAACAAATGAAAACAGTGGATGTGTTTTAAAGTTTGCTTACGACAAGCAGCGGAAGCGTTTTTTTTTTTTTTTTTTTACCCCCGTGATGCTCACGCGTCGCCGCGTCTTAATCCAATAAACATGTCGTTCCAGAGTCCCTCTGTATAAAACCAGAAGTGTCCGCCGCCTCATGAGCGACAATGGGAGGACTGTGGAGGAACTGCGGGCTCTGGCCAAGAGCGTCGGGTCTCCGGACAGCTCTCCGTCCCCCAAGCTGCCCGTGGAGAGGCTGACCAACTTCATGGATGTAAGTGCACCTGCAGAGCGCCTCGGTTCAGGCGGAAATGGCGGCCAAGTCGAACGTCGTGTTTCATCACATATTTTTTTTGACAGTGCTAATATTGACTCAGGCTATCATTAGTTTGACACGAATGCCTTTGGCCACATTTTCTGTTAAAAAATAAAGATCGCTCTTTGGCTAGAAATGCATATATGGAAGCGAATGTTTGACTGTAAAACTCCTAATACCAGCTTTAGGACGAGTTTACTCTTTGAGCTCACTTTACATGAACCCAAACAGGACTTGCAATGAAGCAGGAAGCATTTATTGTCACCAAATGTTCCTTCCTTTAGAGTTTCAGGCTGTCCAGGTCACAGCTACATGCTGAAAAAAAAAAAAGTATTCACTCCTCCTGATCTGTGTCACAATTTCCCTCGTTTCAAACCTCAAACTCCAATGTGTTTTTATTGTGACAGAACGGGGGTGTCCCAACATGATTTCTCAAGAGCCAGCTTCGGCGTGTTTTAGCCGTTTCCCAGCCAGTTATTTTATTTACTTATTAATTTTTTAGGCCCAGTACTATGGCGTCATCAGCATCGGCACCCCACCGCAGAACTTCTCCGTCCTGTTTGACACCGGCTCCTCCAACCTCTGGGTCCCGTCTATCCACTGCGCTTTCTTCGATCTGGCCTGCTGTGAGTGGTTTTAGTGGTAGCAACGGCTTTTTGTAACTTGCATTATAATAAGCCATCTTTTCTTTTCCGTCCAGGGGTTCATCGTCGTTACAACTCCCAGAAGTCGAGCACGTACGTGAAGAACGGAACGGAGTTTTCCATCCGGTACGGCAGAGGCAGCTTGTCCGGCTTCATCAGTGAGGACACCGTCTCGGTGAGTTCAGAAAACAAATCGCTCGGACTTTAAGGCGACGTTCAGTGATCACTCTGTCATTTTGAATCGAATCCTGCCGCTTGCAGGTTGCGGGTTTATCTGTGCTCGGTCAGCAGTTTGGAGAAGCGGTGAAGCAGCCTGGCATCACCTTCGCCGTGGCGCGGTTCGATGGCGTCTTGGGCATGGCGTATCCCTCCATATCGGTGGCTAAAGTCACACCGGTGTTCGACACGGCCATGGCGGCCAAGCTGCTGCCGCAGAACATTTTCTCCGTCTACATCAGCAGGTGGGTTTTAAGACAAATACGTTTTGTGAATGATGTTTTTGGGATTTGCTTCCACTGCGACGAGGAAGAAACAACTGCAAGATTTTGGTTTACGTTTGTTGGCCAATCTGTTGGAAAAACCGTTTGCGTTGAGAAAATGCTTCTGTTGAAACGGATTTCGACTCTCAGGAACCCGAAAGCAGCAGTGGGAGGAGAGCTGATGCTGGGTGGGACCGACCCGCAGTACTACACTGGAGACCTACACTACGTCAACGTGACGAGAAAGGCCTACTGGCAGATCGACATGAACAGGTCAGGCTCTGCTGCTTTGAGGAACTGGGATAAATTAGAGGAAGTTTCAACACGTTAATATTCTAATCTGTTTGATTGTACGAAAGTGACATTTATTGTTGGGGGGTTTTTTTTAACAGTAATTCACACGTATAACTTTTAATCTGTGGCTCTTCTAACCTTCCAGAGTTGACGTGGGCAACCAGCTGACACTCTGCAAAGACAGTTGCCAGGCAATTGTCGACACAGGAACGTCTCTAATCGTGGGTCCAGCCGCAGAAGTCAGAGCGCTGAACAAAGCCATCGGCGCTCTGCCTCTGCTGATGGGAGAGGTGAAAGTCGCACATCTTAAAAGTCTCGCGTCTTTCGTTGCGTCGACTTCAGCGTGCACGTTTTCCTCTCTAGTACATGATTGACTGTAAGAAGATCCCGACGCTTCCTGTCGTCTCATTCGACATCGGAGGGAAGGTGTTCAACTTGACCGGGGAGGATTATGTCATGCAGGTATCTATTTAGAGGAGGTATTTCATTCGCTTGTTCCTGAAGGAATTCCTCAGGAGTGACTTCATGTCGTTTTTCCTAGCTGTGATCTTGCAAACAAGTACATCAGTCTGGCTTTCAAATCTCTTTCTAGCTGCTATCTAACTGAATTAATGGAGTGAAATAAGTTTAGCATTTTTGCAAATCAGGCAGAATTTGAGACTTTTTGAAGTAAGGGAAAGAAAGTGGTTTCTGTCGTTTTAGTTTGTAACAACGTTGGCCTCAAGGTGTTTTATCTGGCAAGATTGTTTACACAGGAGAAAAGAAAGTTGTTCTGTAAGCGCTATAGGGGGCGCTACGTTTGGCTATTAGCTGCTAATTATGCAGAAATTGCACTAAAATAGAGGCCAATTTGGTCGACTTTCTCTTTGCCTGATTGAACCTGTCCTGGATAATTTCACATTGAAGGAGATTCTTTAGTGCACAGGTTTTTGACGCCTTTATTTTGTTCGTGAAAACACAAAAAGCAGTATTTTCAAACATTCAACGCGAGGAAAAACAACAAATGAGCCACTCAAACTTGGACTGAACGACTAACGCACTGAAAGAGCGGCTACCAAAATGTATTTTTGAGTACTTTTCAAAGGGGCATCAGATCGACAAAAACCCTTATCCACTGCTTGTCTACTGCAAAATAAACAAATGTAATAGCAATTCCAACCATTAAGGGTAGATTACCTTATTCGGGGATTGTAATTGCATACTGTGTAGAAAGGAATTAGATTAATGTATTTAAAAATGCAGAGAATCACAATAATTACACTTCAATGTAAAGTGGCCCGATTATTAGAAATAATGTATAGTAAAGTCAAAAGTTATCCCATTTGTTCTGCAAGGAGGAGCTTTACTGTTATACAATAGCCTTGTCTTTTTTTCCCTCCTTCCTCTTTGTTGCAGGAGTCTCAGATGGGAGTGTCCATCTGTCTGTCTGGGTTCATGGGTATGGACATCCCGCCGCCGGCCGGCCCGCTTTGGATCCTGGGAGACGTATTCATTGGGAAGTACTACACCGTGTTCGACAGGAATAAGGACAGAGTCGGGTTTGCACCTGCCAAGTAGGACGCTGCTAAAATTTCTTTTCAACTTCTAATTAGACTTTCAAGAAAAATAACCAGCTGCTGAGCGCAAATTAAAAACCACAGCAAGAAATGCTACAGTTCACCATTTCCAAAGATTCAGCCTTAATTGCTAGAAAGTTCAGCATGTTGACGTGCATCGATGCCTCTGTTTGGGTACTTATTTGTTGCACTTATATGAAGCTGCATTATGTTAAAATTTAAATCTACGCGTCCTGGTATGTTTCCAAACCATGGATTTTATTTCCTCTGCTTAAAACCAATTTTTTTTTTGTCTTGTAATTAAATTAAAATTCTATCCAATGTGAGCTTTTCAAAGCTGAATAAAAATCTTGAATGCTTTCATTACACTGACTTCAAATCACGTCCTTATAAAAACACAGAGACCGTCTCCGATCATTTCAACATTTATTGAAGTATACAAAGTGCTCCAATGTTTAAAAAGAACTCATGGGTTTTGGGTTACATGCATCACAGCATATGGCTACCCTCCACTCGGAAGTAGCGACCAGTTTTGGGTTTTATTTTCGGATGTGGCATGGAGACTCCTCACTTTAGCACAGTAGTAATGTACAGCATAAATTAATATGCAAAGGAAGACTCATCAAATGCACAGAAAACTCTACACTCTGACCAAAGCACTTAATGATGCACAGATATGTATCTTTCTATGTTGTTCTGCATCAGTGAAAATAAATATTCAGCTCTTCTTTTTTTTGGGTTATAAATGTTTGATAAATACAAAAATATTCACTTTCACTTGGTTTCTTTTGTCATGATTAAATAAATCGATCAATGTACACGATATGGACAAGATTACATGTGTGGGGATGAGGTGATGTTTCAACTTTATCCTAAGGCTAAGAGTGAAAACAAAACGACTCTAGATGCGACTAACTCTCTACTTGAGTCTGGCAGCTGTTCCTGCTCGTCCACACTTCAATTTGGAATAAACTTTTACTTATATTTTTTTAAATGTTCTGGATTCACCCGAGAGCTAATCACCGATTTCTGAGCAAGTGAACACAAATCTTTGGCTAAAAAAACAGAAGGAAAGCTGCCTTGCAAAACGGGATTAAAGTGAAACTAATACTGCGCTGCACGTCAACCCCATCTCTTATCGGTGGTGGCAGCAGCATGCTGTGGGAACAGAGGAGTTGAAATCTGGAAGAGAACCGGTGAGAAGCTGCACTGACCTGAGATCAGGTTGGAGGTTCACCTTCCAGCTGCCGGAGCGACAGTGGAATGCTGTAGTAGTAGAAAACAAATATGTAGTTATTCTCCAATTTGTGTATCAGGGATTCTATGCAGTATGTAGAAGTGTGGCATAGAGCATGATTGGGTATTGAAAGGTAAGTTTACTAAGGCATTAAAAAGCAGAAACGTTTCTGAGAAAATTGGGTTAAAATTGACTTTCAGCTTTCATTTGCGACATAAGAACAGAACTCACTGAAAATAATTCAACTCAAACCTTTTGAACTATTGAACCTTCTTAAAACTCATGACAAAAGTGTCACAAGTCGGTCCAATTAAGATACTAAAGATGGTTCTGACATTAACTTTTTTTTATTCTAACCAAATAAAGACATAAAGATCACAAGCTGTGATTATGACTACGGGAATTCAAAAGGTCCGTCTTCCGTTTGTCACGATGCAAAAAAAAAAAAAAAACATGCGACCCAAGTTCAAATGTCTGTTCAAATGCTGAAAACGGAAACATTTTGAACATTTTGCCAGAACATGGTAAAAAAAAAAAAAAAAAAAAAAAAAAAAAGCGTGACAGCCATATTTGTTGGGCTCCACTTCAGACCCTGCAGCGTTAAATCAACAAACCGTAGAGTTCAAGAGGCATAAGCACTTCAGCGAGACTCGGTACCTGCAGGCCTGCGTTGAGATCCTGACCTAAGATTAGCACCTGGAAACTATTGTTCAACACAAAGATCAGACCGGCAGAAGCAGCTTACAGACTACAGGTTAATAATGGATCCCTCCTGGTCCTTTTAGCCTTAGCGACACAGACCTGCACCTTAATCCAATCTAATGTCTGGCTGCTTAACACAACACTGCCTGGATCCTTTACGTTAATCTGCATTTACACACACTTACAGGCATTAGAATGAACAAAGTGCTCAAACTGAAACTGGAGGACCTTCTGCAGCCTGTCTGGTAGTTTTTTTTTATGGGTTCTCATATTTGCTACATAGATTTATTCTCCATCTGGGGAATGCAGGTTCTCCATCTGAATGAACCAGACAGGGTTACAATATTTTCTGGTCATTTGTGTCCACATCCAAGCAATTAGAAAATAACATTTCTTTATTTTCCAACAAAGAGCAGCTTTTAGTTTTCTCCTCACTGGCAACAAATTGGGTATTTCCTGCTCGCCTGATACGGTCGTCCTGTTGGAATCGCGACGAAACTTCTACCACCCTCTACATCGCGCTGGGACCGCGACGTTCGAAACATTGCTTTTGCACAGCGCTGCGCAAAAGTCCCAACAATTGAACCTTTTTCCACATTTTGTCACAAGCGAATACAGTTTGGCATAAATGAGTTCAACCATCTTTGTTCTGATACCATTAAAAAAATAAATTCATACTGCTTTCAGTAGACTAAATTACACACAGATCTGAGTCTATTTTACTCATGCACTGGATTTTATTTGAAGATTTTAGAGTAAATTGGGCTGAAAACAAATGCACGCCACACTTTTCAAATCATGAACCACTTCGTTTGGGTCCAAAACAAATTTGACTAAAAGAAATTAAAGTTTATGGTTGTAAGCTGACAAAATGTGAAATAAAAATTCAAGTGGTGTGAATACTTTTGCAAGGTACTGAAATATTTGAATCAGCCACTGTATTACTGAGATTTAAATAAGCAGAAATTTGATTCTTGCATGGTTTCATTTTTAAGAGGCTGATCAGGATTTTATTACACAATGGCTTTCCATACAAAACACTTAACATTACATTCAGTCCTTTGAAACGGGATTAAAAACAGATTGGTGCCATGGTAACTGCAAATGGAGGTGCAAGGAGTCCAAATGAAGCTGAATTTGTTGCTTTCCTCTTTCTAAACGACAGGAAGGTGAAGACCTCTGAGTTTAACAGAGCACAACAGGCTAAACTTCATTAATACAATGGCTTTGAGGAAACTAACACTGTGTCGTAGTTACTCACTGACATTTTTTAGAGGTAACAAGAACAAAAAGAGGTGATTTTCTTTCCCCATGCAGGTTCTTTTCTTCTGGAGCTTCATCACCACTGAAGTATATTTGACCCCCATAAATAAAAAACAAACAAAACTGAGGTTGGCATCTAATCTTGTTGGATTTGTTTTACGGCCCTGCAGCAGTTCTCAGCAGCTGCTCTGGATCTGATAAAGCGCAATAGAGCGTGTACCCCAGCTCGTCCACTTCCTGTTCCGTCAGCTCACAGAACAAGTTAACTTTGGGGTGGAGGGCGCACGGCAGCCTCCCGGCCTCTAGGTGTCCCACCAGCGCGCGCAGCAGCTGCAGAAAGCGGTCGGCCAGCGCCTCCCGCGTCCAGTCGCCTTCCTTCTCGCTCAGCAGCAGGATGGCGTTTGTGAGCTGGCTGGAGTTGAGGAGGTGGAGGGCGGGGTTGAGCTTGCACGCCGCCTTTGCCGCCTTGAGGCAGGCGTACCGGCAGCCGCCGTCCTCCTGGTCCAGCGCCCGGAGGCGCGCCGTCTCCGCCACGCGGAAGCTCTGCCGCCACAGGTTCTCGTGGCGCTCGGCGGCGAGCCGGTGCGGCTTGGCGATTAGCGACGTCCCGTCCTCCATCACCAGCAGAGGCAGGAAGTCCACGTACAGCCTGCGGTCCGTCTCGTACTGGACCTCCAGGGTGAGCGTCTCCGAGGGAACCACGGGGCGGATGATGTAGTCGAGGACGCTGCCGATGGCGGGCCAGTTGATGGAGCCGGCGACGAGCTTGTCGAAGACCTCCAGGACCGATTTGGGGGAGAGGTAGCCGCCGACCATGCAGCGGTCCCAGTAGCTGCTGCTGCGAGGGAAGTACTCCAGGTTCTCCCTGCGGACGAGCCAGAACCCCGGGATGTTCATGATGGTGTCCTCCCCGGGGATGGACGACCACAGGTTCTTCTCCAACACAAGAGGCACCATCAGCTGGGCGTGGTCGGCTGTCACCACCTACAAGATTGGAACATTTGAACTCAAAATCCCAGATTACTGGATTAGAGGAAAATTTGTATTTGTTTCCCACTACTGACTTGTTTGGGCATGTGCTTTAGAAATAAGTACTTTTGGATTATTCTTAAACTAAACATTGAGAGAATGTGGCATATCCATTGTCCTAGATACTGTTATAATTCTTTGAATGAATAGTAATTGTCATAATTTAGGTTATATTAAGGTTGAAGGTGAATTAAGGTCATTGTAGAAAGAAAAAAGGGAGAGAATTTCCTCTATAAATCTCAGAAGTTTTTAGATTAATTCTGGAAATATTTGACCTTGAAAACCTGAACATTTTTGTCTTATTTTTTCTTGAGCTCTTTGAATCATTCAATCATACTATTTTTACAACTACAAAGACAAGAAGAGCAAAGAACTAAAATGCGCTTCCTGGAAGTGTTTTTTTCAACACATTCTCCAAATCAGCCGACGGTGCGGAACCGGTCGAGCAGCGACGGCGCTCACCTGCAGGTCGTCATAGAGACTGCCGCTGAGGTACATCTCTCTGAGCGGCATGTCAGGCAGCTTGGCGTGAAGGAAGACCCGGAGCTCGGCGCAGATGTCCAGCGCCGCCCTCCGGGCCGTGGCCTGCTCCTCAGCGGGGATGTTGACCCGGGTCTGGTAGAAGTCCCACAGGCGTTCCTGCAGGGAGAGGCGCATGCGGGCCTGCAACAGGCCGGAGCGGGTGGCGCCGCTTCCTCCCACCGCGGAGCGACCCACGGCTCTGCGCAGGCAGTCTGAGGAGACGACGGAGACGCTTTTATTAGGAATGCAGCAGAACTTTGAGAGAGGAACGTCAAAGCTGTTCTCTGCAAACGTCATCAAATCCCTTCAACAAATGTGAAGTTTTTAACAACAGTAAAACCAACTGCCTCCAGACTTCAATTAGTGAATGAACTTAAATAAATAACTGAGAATCCACACACTTGAAAATTTCACAACTACATTCTACATTATGTTGGTCTATCACATAAAATACAATATAAATACTTTAATGTTTGGGAACAAAATGGAATAAAGTTCAAAGGGATGTGAAGGATTTTGCAAAGCACTACATTTACGTTATCAAGACCTGGCAAAGAACAACACTAAATCTAAAAGCAATAAATGACTTAGGGTGATTCTACAGGTGGTCTCGTTAACAGGAACCAAAAAAAACATCAGGATCAGCTACGGGAAGACAGAAGGTCCAAACCCACTATAAAGAAAGAGTAACAATCCTCCGAGGAAGCCGTCTGTCGACAGATAAAGAAAAAGGGACACCTGGCTGATTGTCTTTTTCGTAAACTCAAATACTGCGCAGCACAGGGAAATAAAACACCGCACATCGGAAAACAGAACAGTGACGTCAGAAGAATATCCGCCTCACCTGGTTCAAAAGAACAAGAGGTCGTGGGCAGAGACTGCAGGGAGCGGCTAACCGTGGACTTCATGTCGTGGTTGAGAACTCGTGGAGAGGAGCCCACCCACGCCGGCTCCTCCCAGCTTCTCTTCCCCGTCTGCTGCATCTTGGTGGGGCTGGTGGGGGCACTAATGGTCCGGTCATACATCTGCACACACGACAGAGTCTCAGGTCACGCCTCTATATGAGTAGAGGTAACATGTTCAAAAAATAAAAATAAAAAAAAGAGTGAGAGAGACTGGGATTGTCAGACTTACTCTTTTGACAGCGAGGGTCGCGATGCCAAGCATGGCTGCCCCGCCCACCCCCAGAACAAGTTTAGCATTGGAAAGCATGAAATCGATAGCGGTCCCGATCCCGTTGTCATCTTTTTTCCCCTTGCGGTCTCCGTTCACGCCCGCCATCCTGCTGCCGGAAACACACAAACCTGATCATAGCAGCAGAAAGAAGGCAGAAGAAGAAGAAGCTATTGTTCCATTGTCAAGAAGTTATAATACTAAACAGCTTTGGTAATTAAAACAAGCATTCTTTGTTGATGCTACCTGAGAGATGCAGATCCTGACGACCCCACCACCGGGTGTTCCCTTCCCCGCCCCCCACCCTACATAAGCCCACCAAGCCGGCTGTTGAGAAAGAACTGGCCCCTCTTCAGCGCTTCCTCCTTCTCCTCGGGTACGGTCAGGGCCTGGCAGCGCCGAAACTCACGGGCCACGGCCCGGCGGTAGTAGTTCCGGTCGGTGTACTGAAGGTGACGCCCTGCGCGGAGCAGCGCCCTGTACAGCTCCAGCACAGCACCGCGGGACCAGCTGCCCATCAGGGAACACGCATGGATAGGGTGGTGACCCTAGACGCTGAGTGGAAAGGACAACGATCAGGCTGAGGCAACGCTGATCAGAGAGCGTCTAAATGCTGCTCAGAAGTGGAAAAAAGATAATATTTCACCCTGAACCAGAGAGGACCAGGAAGCAATCATACTCAGAAAAGTGATTTGAGAATCAAGGAAACTTTTAAAGTTTTGAATTTGCAAGACCTGAATGCAGCAGGTGCAGTTTTTGCATGAAAACAATAAACTACAATGAAGAAAACAAGCTGAAGCCTGTTTTAAGTTGCCTGTCGCAATACGCAGTTAATTAACCGCATAATAAATTAAAATTAGCTTGATAATTTACATTTTGATTATTTATATTTTTTGAAGGACAATCTCTACCAGGCTTTACTTACCTCCTCACCAGGCAAAGCGTTGGTTTACTGGCAGAAAATTGACACATTTCTATTATAAATCAAAGGATCAGACAAGTGTGAACTTTTCCAACTAGACAGCAGTCCTGAAGATAGAACAACATAAACCTGCAGGAGTGACCCACTCAGGGATTTTAATCCAATTGAAAATCTACTTAAGAGCTGAAGCTCACGGTTCAAAGAGAATGCCTGATCCTTCAACTTCTGCCGATAGTTGGGGCATCATCAAAATGAGCTTGACTAGTTTATTAATACAGGAGATACCTTGAACCCAGCATCAACAAAACAGGCTACTTCTACACGAAGCTGAAGTTGGTTTCCAATTCCATTTCCCGATTCAGGAAATTGCTGAAGGGCGATTCCACCTAATTTTTCACTATGTTCTGCATCTTAAATCGACTCTAATTTAAAAAGTGCAACACCTAGACTATTCAAACCTGGACTGGATTATTCTGCTCTAATAGCAGAATGTCTAAAACCATGTTTGTGACTTGTGAATCTGTTTTCTGATTTGTGAAACTTCAATAAAAGTTGATTTCACCACCTTTTTTTTAATCTCTGTCATAGTATAACTGGATTCCTTCTTGCAGAGGTGAAATCACCCTTTATTGAAGTTTCACAAAACTCAAACATGGCTTTAGGTATTCTGCTATTAGAGCAGAATGATCCAGTCCAGGTTTGAAGAGTCTAGGTGTTGTAGTTTATGAACGACAGTCAAAGATGTGGAACACAGTGAAAAATTAGGTGGAATCGAAGACCAGAATTGGAAACCAACTTCAGCTTCGTTACTTCTACTCCCTTTAATATTATACACTACCCTTTTTTAAATATACATTTGTTGGTGTAACAATAGCTTGAAATGCAAGTGTATTCACGAAGACAAACATTACAGCATTCAATAAACATTCATAAAGTACTGTATTTGCTTCTGAGCTCACAAAACAAACAAATTAGCCACACTGTATGTATCAACTTCTCTGAATATACAAAGGTTAACGAATCAACCTGTTTTCATTGAAGGTGAGCCTTTAATGTAATTTTATACAATAAAATAAAATTCAATCAATCAAAAGTTATGAAGCTCTCAATTCACCATACAAGCAGATCCACATGCTCCCTCTTCGGGTTTGTTAATCTTTAACTAGTTGCAAAACGTGCATGGACGCCGGGACGTTGACAACCATTTCGTCGCAACCCGTTCTTGCCCTTCGTTACCCCAGCTTTGTTTGGGTCTCCCCCTGAAGCTGAAACGCTCATATTCGCCGAGTAAATCTCCCGGAGGCATTAGGGAGAGTAGAAAATGGCTGGTCTGTTCCACCAGAAAGTCACACACCTCCTCACTAGCTTATTAGCTTACCTCGGTAAGCAGCCGTGTGGCGCTGACCTTAGTTCAAGCCCGGTTTAAAGACACGTCGCGTTCAGTACGACGCCGAAATGACGTCAAATAGCAGCGACACGACAATAAAGCAAATAGAAAACAGAAGTCAACCTACGTTTCAGAAAATAGGAGTCAGAAAGGTGTCTTCAGGAGGCTGGCGTCTCTTGTAGCTGGGGGTCACATACGGTGGTGACAACAGGAAGTACGTCAGTACAGAACGACTACATCCGGTTCACGTGACTCGTTTTATGTAAAATAAAATAAAATAAAATAAAATTGTCTCGCAGCTGTGCTTTACTGCCCAGGAAGAAATCCCCACAAATTTTCTTCTTTTTTTTTGTATATTGCAAGTTAATTATTGTATTTTATTTAACAGCTGAACTCTGCTTTTATATCATGTCACATTTTGTACAGTTTGTATATTCTATACTATGCTATGCGTCTTACGTTTTGTTGTGTTACAACCACAATTATTAATGTATTTTTATTGGAATTTTCTATAATAGACCAAAGCAAAATATTGCACACTTGTGACATGGAAGCATAAGAATACATGATTTATTTCTCTATTTATTTTTCATTTATTTATTTATTTATATTTTTACAAAGTCTGAACAGTAGAATGTGCACTTGCTTTCAGCATCCCTGGTTAAAAAAAAAACTTTGTAGGACTATGTTTCAGTGTTCATCTCTCAAGTGTTTTGCCATCTCTTTGATCCTTTCTTCCAGTTGTGCTCTGTATTCAGTACCTTACTCAGACATAGGTAACATTTCAATAGAATCAAACATCAAAATGGTCATAATTTTGGTTAATCCCCCCTGAGAAAAAAAATGTAATGAAAGTTTAATGACTTAGCATTATGTGATGGCTGTTGACTTACATAATTTCTATCAGTTACGCGATCCAATAGCAGCCTGCATCATTTTAAATCGCTTCTCAAAACTCATTTTTATTCGTTGGCTTTTAACTGAAGCAATTTTTGATATTCTGTTTTTATTTATTTGTGTTACTGTCGTTCCTGTGCAGCACTTTGGTGCAGTTTTATACCTGTTTTAAAGTGCTATATAAATAAATTTGACATTGACATTGACAGTTTTGCAAGTCAATACAGATATGCAGAAAGCTGTTGCAAAGGCAAGAATTTTATTCCATCGTGAAACAATAAAATTTTAAACTGGTGAAAGTGAGTAGAACACAAATTAAAAACAAAATGTACTGCCTTTTTTTTCAGAAAATGTCAAAACATATCTCTAAATTATTCAGATTGCTGACAAACATATATTTGCTACAATGATACATAATTCAAATAACAATAATTTGCATAAAAAGGCAAGCTGCAGAAAAGACAAAAACATGAGTATGATACCGGTTTACATGACAGACAACACTAATGATTTTTGAACACATTCATCAATAAAACAAACATTTTTCATGTCCTTGATTTTGAAAACTGTTACTTTGTTTTGTGTTATCTGCCTTAACATAATGTGATGAAAGCAGATCATAAGTATAAACTTCACATTTTAAAAGCTGTATTATTGAGTTCTAAAAATATTTGCAAGCTTCAATAATCAGGATAAAAGGCTGCAGAACATGTGTGGAAACTGAAGAATAGAAATTTGGATCTAAGTTACAAATGATGCATCCCTGATGTATTTGCAAGCCCTTGAATCTTCACTGTATACTGTAGTTTGGACCAGTTACCACAAATATATTACATCTGTTGGCCTGATTGTCTGCGGTAATTGTATGATCAGGGCATGTACTTTATTCCTTTCATCCTTGGTATGATATGGAGATCTCTAACGTCATTATGCTGAAGGAGCCAACACAAATAGCGCTCTGTCCCCATGCCCCACCCACTGGTAAGGAGAGGTTTCACTTTGCGCATGCTAATGTACCATTTGTAAGACTCTTCTGGTACTGCATGGTGCCTGAGAGCTTCTCGTACCATCTCAGGGCTGGGATGGCGTTCACCAAGACCAACAGTCTCACCCAGCCCCAGCAAAAGGTCTGCTGCTTTGGCTTTGGACCGTCCTGTGCCCTCCATGTACGCCTGGTAGAAGGGAACTCCCAGGTGGTCCATCTCAGTTAGCCATACAGCACCACCAAATTTCTCTATTAAAACGTGCTCTCCTTTGCGCGTTAGCTTCCTACCAAAGACAGGTTGGCCATCTTGCACCCACTCTAAGCAGTCTGCAGAGGGCATCATGGAAATGGCTTGAGCCAGGGGGATTCTTGGAAGAGCAGTGTTTCCTTCCATTTTGCTCAGGATTTCTGTCACGTGTGCTAAGGTTCCAGCAGAGTTCTGGATTATGTCAGAGTGATTTTTCAACATGGACTTGGTGAGGTGAACCAAGTATCCCTCTGCAATGGAAATGGCATTATCCATGTCCCCTACCAATTCACACTCTACATGGTAGAACTGATTCAAGTGTGTGGTGTCTGGATCTTCCCCTCTAAAGCTTGGAGATATATAGTAGGTTCCGGGTAAGTTCTCCTGAAAGCGAAGGAAGTATTCAAGAACAAACTGCATTGAGTCAGCCAGGTATACATCTTGACCAAGCAGACTTACAGACACTGGCTCTGAGTCGGATCCCAGACCCATTGGTGAAGATATGGTGTCTGTGGTGAGAGGGGTCAAAGCATAAGAGTACTGGCAGAAATTGTGGAAATATTCCACTGTGCTGTGGAACAAAGTGTTTTGAATTTGGAAGAGGTTGCGATACCACTGGCTTTTCATGGCCAGAGTGGAGTGAAGTTGAGGATCTTTCCATGAATTAGGAGGTCTGCACTGGGTGATTTTCAAGTGTGTGTTTTTGAGAGATTCAGCATCAGCTGGTCGGCCATCCAAAGATGACACAAATCCAGGGTAGGTTTGGAAGAATTCTGGTTGTAGCTTGGCAGCTTTGGTCCCATCTGGTGAAGGTAGCAGAGGCACCAGCTTGACATGAGCATGGTCGATCTCAAACCCCTCAAAGATCATTGCAACACTTGAAGCCTTCATTCCTTCCTGCAGCAGTTGAGCAACTTTATAAGTGGCCAAGATGAGAGTTATGTAGTCTGGATCGTCTAGACTGAAAATGTCACTGGACAGAGGCTTGCGTGGTACCACAACAGTTAGACCGGGTCTATTTGGGTATGGTGTAAGGAAAGCAACATGCTCACTGTCTTCCCACACTCTCCATTGTTGCTGTTCTCCCCGTACAATACGGCTAAACAGGCTATCACTGGAAGGGTCACCAAAGTAGTCAAAGCAAAATGGTGCATTAGGTGTAGGCAGAGCATTTCTGATTTTGGCTTGAACTTGAGTCAGTGCCTCATCGTCCCAGCGTGGGCCACTTTTTGAGTTACAGAAGCCTGTATCATAACTATAGAACTCCTCTTCTTTCGCAAGATGAGGTTGCCACTTTGGTTCTAATCCATAGAGTGGCAGTAATCTAATTTGTGCTGGTTTATCAGGGACTGGATTAAAAATCAAGGCACAACGTTGTACTCCCAGTTGCTCACATAGCAAGTTTGATACTGTTTTTGCACCTTGTAACATAGTTACAAAATCAGATGTGGGCAACTGAAAGATACTGTTAGCCCCACTCAGAGTTTTTCTTGTCAGAATGGTTGACCCAGGAGTCCAAGGGTTTGGGTTCAGGTAAGCAACCAGCTCCTCTGTTTCCCAGATCACATTGATGTAGTTCTTCATCGGCTTGAGAACTTCTACCCTGGAAATGCCGCCAGTCATTGAGGCCACAAACATCACACCAGCATTTGTTTCAATGACAGATTCACAGTTTTTGTCCACTGCAATGACACCAGCACATACGTCTTTCAGATTTTGGGCTATCACTTCTTTGCAGGCCTGTCTAAGGCTATAGCCTTTGTTGTGGTACAGACTGGCTATTTTCTCTGCCACACTGCTCCTTAAAAAGACATCTCCGTCTCCAGAACAGGTAATTGCTACCTTGTCATCTGCATATATCCCTGCTCCTACTACTGCAGTATCCCCTACTCGTCCTTTTAATTTTCCCACCATTCCACCTGTTGAGGTAGCAGCTGCCAATGTGTTCCAACGATCAAAGGCCACAGCTCCAACTGTTTGAGGGTGGTTGTTTTTTGAGGCATTTCCACCACTGATTTTTGCGAGTAACTCTTTGTGACGTATATCAGTGTAAAAATACTCTGGCCCAACTGGCTTCTCTTTGTCCTCCAGCCCTAGCAGAAACTCTTCAGCTCCTTCCCCAACAATCAGTGCATGTGAGCTCTTCTCCATTACACATCTGGCTGCTTTAATAGGGTTTTTCACACTTTTCATACAAGCAACAGATCCTGATCTCATTCGACTTCCATCTACAATGGTTGCTTCCAATTCATTTTTGCCGTCTTTGTTGAAAACTGAACCTCTACCTGCGTTAAACAAAAAGCAGTCTTCCAAAGCTTCCACAGACCTCTGAACAGCATCGAGACTACTGCCACCTTGTTCAAGAATTTGGGCCCCAAGGGTTAAAGCTATATGCAGTGCAAACTCAATCATCTCTGTCACTTTGCTGTTCAGCATAGTCTCCTCTCCAGCACCACCATGAATCACAAGAATGTAGTCAGAGCTCATGCCAGATACAGGGTCAATAGCACCTTTGCCCTTCTCTACACTGTCTTGGCACCGAAGCATCTGCTCTGTTTTTTGGTGTTTGAACAGGCAATCTAGTGCCCCCATTTGGCTTGTTATGGCATACCTAACAGCTAAAAGCATCAACAACTTCAAGCTCTTCTTGAAGTTTTCTTGAAGCTTCTTCAGAGCAACAGCAAATGTCCCCTTTCCATTCAGCACAAGTCGCACCTTATCTTTCTTTCCGAGGTAAGTCACAGCAAGTTGGTCTTGTGCATAAGCATTCCCTACTCCACACTCTACACCTTCCATCATGTCAGAACCTGTGAGGTATACAGATGGACAACCAAAGGGATCCAGGAATTTCCTTAATGGATTGTCAGACGGTAAAGACCGGCGCAGAGCGGCCAGGTGTGGACCAACACCTTGGCCAGTTTTGGTGCTTCTGATAAGGCTCTTGTGCTCTAT